AAAAAAATAATAAATATTTTAGTCGAGAAAAAAATAGAAAATTCAACTCTTAAGATCAAGTTTGCTCCAATACAACCTCAAAAGAGTTATTTTTTAAAAAATGCGTTGAATTTAGTTTTAAGAAAAATATTTATATAGCATCAGTTTCAAGGAGAGATACGAAAAAAATAAAAAAATTAGGAACAAAAACCTGTTCTGTTCAAAATTGCTACTTTTTCTTAGTTAAAAAGACCTACGGAAGTATTTACTTGGGTCAAGTCAGAATGGTGGGTAATGGCCGCTAAAAGGGATAGGGTCAAAAAAGACCATAGAAAGGTAGCAAAAAGGCCGCACTTTCCATTTTTCTGAGATTTTGAAGGCTCAAGGAATGGAGGAAAAAGGGAGAGGCAGCAAAAATAGTGCATAAAAGCCGAAAAAATGGCGCAAAAAGGCAGCAAAAAGGGAACCTTTGTCACACTAAAATGATCATTTCTATGGAGCCTTTTTCGACCTTTTCAGCTCTGCCTCAGAATGCCGATAAAATGACGCAAAAATGAGCCTTTTTCCACCTTTTCTGACTTTGCCTGTGTCTAATTTCATCAAGGTCCAAGAAGAAAAGAACATTTCTTGTTTTATTTCACAAGATTACAAAGGTCTATTAAGCACAAAGGTCTTCTGCGCCTTTAAAACATAGGTAAAAAATTCTTTAACTCCTGAAAACCAACATCGCTGTCCGTGAAGACGGCCACAAGGAATTCCTCGATTCCTTTATATTCCGACTCCAATATCGGCATCCTTGAGCGGCACGCATCGATTTCCATTTTATTTCGTGTCGTATAGGCCCGCGAATTCTTCGCGTTTTCCTTCCGACGATCTTCGACACTCTGAAACCATAAAAAGTCTGAAAGGTCTCTTTTTTGCAAAACCTGCGGAGCTATCCTTTTTTGGCAGCTTCTTTCTTTCCGCCTCTGATAGTGCCGATAATCGCGGCCCTCGAATTTGACGACTATCACGCCTGGATTTTGATCACACGTCATTTCACCTTCAAAATCAACAATTTTCAATTTGTTCCCATTGAACGATTAACCGAGCTGGGAATGAGAACAACTGGAATCTGCCTCGCACTGGGAACTCTCACCTTCCATAAACGAAAATCTGTAAACGGAAAAATTGCAAAAACTTCAAAATTCACAGTGAAAGCGAGAACAAAGGAAACAGAAATTGATGATGATACAGTTTTTCTGGTTCAAAAGCGGTAAATTCCCACGCCGTTATTGGTTGACCCCGCCCATCTGGCAATATACTTTGAAAACAAAATCATATTGGACATTTGCCAATTTTCGGCACGTGCCGTTGAACCAGAAAAACTACTTCTCAACGCGTCAAATTAGCTTTGAACGCGGTAAGAGAGAGAGTCTGCTCTGGAGTTTAAAGGCGCATATATAGAGTTTTCTTAAAGGTTTCAAGAAAAATTAAAAATTTCAAGCTCATTTTAGTTCTCGGAACAGTTGTGAGCAAAATTTTTTACTTTTTCAAAATAAAGAGTCATATTTGAATTCACCTTCATGGAGGTTAAGTCCAAAGTTTAAAAAGAAGTAGAAAGTAACCTTTTTTCGAGAACTGAAAAATGAAACGAATCAAGAAAACATGAAATCAAAAACACAGAACAACATCAAATTCTTGATGAATTGAAAACAAAGACATTAATGTGAAGAAAACAGGAAGTATCGATTGAAGACTACAACCGTGAAAAACAATTATAAAAAAAGAATGTTCTTATTTTTCTTTTACTTAGTTTTTAACTATAGAAAAAGGTGAGAGAAGTTGGGAGGTCTTAAATTAATTTGAAATCTCGGTTTTGGAGTTAAATTGAAATATTTTTCTCTTGAAAATGTTCTTTTGAAATGAGAACTTTTCGTTAAAAACCATACTTTCACGAGATTAACCAATAAGTGTTAGAAAAAAATTCATTGAATATACTGGGAATAAAAATCTGATATTTCTAAAAAATGTTTTTTACTCTAAAAATTTCCTTGCATAATCGCGTCCTACATTTAGTGATATTTAAAACTAAAAACATACAAGGAAGAAAACCTTGAAAAAAAGAAAAAAACTGTTGAATTACAGAAAAACTTCTCATCGTTGCGATGCGATTTCTCAAAATCCCCTGCTACGCTCCTTTAAAAAGGTATATTATATTTATAACCTTTTCGGTGATAATTTCGTCATTATTGATTCAAATGCCGCAGGTAAAGATGAAGAAAGTCGAAATGTAAAAACGCTGGAGAGAGAGAGAGAGAGAGAAGAGAAGATGGAATAGAAGGAGAAAAAAGAAGAAAAATGGGGCCGCCTGGCGGGTGGAATGATGTGAAAGGCGCAAACATGAGCAAAAGTTAGGTGTCGCGTGGCAAATATCTATACAGCGGCCGGGCAGTCGTGAAAAAGCGCCAACATTATTGAAAGACGTGATTGTTTGGGAAAAAAAGTGAGTCATGTTAATGATAAAAATAAGAAGGTTGCTCTTGTTCTATTTCAAAACATTGCGATAAATAGATAGAATTTTGAGAAAATTTGAATTTTTGAATATTGAAATGAAAAATGGGAACTCAAAATTCCTGCCTGATTTTTCATACTAGGGCTTTTTCAAATGAAGGTTTCAAGGCGGAAAGCTGGTTTCAGCGATTAATCAAATTTTTTTCAAGACTTTTGCGTCTTCTAAGGACCTTCCAAAAGTTATTCAGGTTCCACCAAAATCTTTTTGAGCATTTGAATAAATTCAAAATGAAAGTTTTAATTGATCAAAAACGGAAGTCGTTTGAAAAACGCCACAAAATTGACCTTTCTTGAGCCTTTTCTCATGTCTCAAATGTTTAAAATCGATTGAAATTTCACTTAAGTCTCATTAAAGGCTTAAGGATTACGAAAATATTCGTTGGAATCAAAAAGAATCCTTGAAACTTTCGCAAAATACTGAAGAAATTTCCGAAATTGTCTGCAATCGGACCATTTCAAAGTCATTTTTTGGCCCTTCAAAGTGGATAAAAATGGTTCAAAAAACACCTGCACCTTAATCGAGACTTCTAGATTATAAATAACTCGAAAAACAAGGTTAAAAATAGATAATACGAGTGGAAGAGAAAGAAAAGGACGCGCAAAAACGGCGGCCCAGACACCCTTCTCCCAGACCAAATCGATTGTTTCCGTGGTGTGTGGCTGGCGAGCCAGTGTAGAGAGAACGTCTGACACTGAGTGATAACTCGCTCTCATAAATATGATTGATATGATTACGTTAATCACTTTGTTCCACTGAAGTTGTTTTTCTCAAACAAAAATGAATAAAAAGTTGAAAATAGTTGCATTTTTTCTGTAGATTCCCCTGACAAGAGAGGTCATTTTACTTTTTAGATTTTTCTTGAAAAATCGGCCAGAACTTTCCTTGATGTCCCAGAAGAATATTCTGAAAATCTCAACCTGCACAACTTTCTCGTTTTTAAGAAAGTCAAAGAAAACCCCTCAAAATCCATTAAAATAGGCTATTTATGGACTTTAGACCCTTATTTCTCGTAAACTAGGAACTTGTGAGGTTGAGACTTTCAGGATCTTCATTTGGTACTTCAAGAAGTGTTCTGGCCTATTTTTTTAAGATATTCCCAAGCGCAAAGTAAAAATATACAGGCTCTAATTTTTCATTTAAAAATATATAAAAATTCGTTCAAAATATTTTTTTCAAGTCGTTCTAACTACTTTTCATCCAAGGTTTCTAAGCGAGGAGTGGCTTTTTAGTTTTATTTTTTTAGCTTTGCTTATTTTTTTAAGAGATTATGAAGAAACTAAGTGTTTGACGGATTATTTAACTGAAAATTGAAAAATGTTTTTTTGAACGAGCCAAAAAAACTTGTTTTTAACTAGGTCTTAACAAAAATACCTACATTTTTGAGTCCGACTTGATTTTTCAGACTGAAAGGGCGGAAACCAGGAAAGTTATGAGCTATTGAAGCATCATCAAAAGTCTTGAATGAGAAAAGAAACTTTTAACTGTCAAGCTGACATCTTTAGCCTGAAATAAACATATAAAAAGACGATTCAAACTGTAATTACTAGAAACAAGGCTTGAATCTTACAGAATATGAAAGTCGTTTCAAATTGTCTCCGTGAGAGCAAAAGAAAGTGGAAAATATGAGCAAATTTGGATTTACACGAAGTAATTTTTAACAATATAGAAAAAATCGTCAAAATACTCTTTTTCTTTCTCGAATCAACCAAAAATTATATTCATTTTTAATTGACAAGCCTTTCCCAATTGTGATAATCTTCTCAAAGACAGACGTGTGGGGCTCGCGGAGCCCTAAAGTTCGGCTCCAAGAGCACTTGAAGTGGTCAACACTTGACGTGTTGCTGTATGTGTCCGTGTGTGTGTGTGGCTTTGGCTGCCTGGCTCCTGGTCATTTAATCTTTTTGATTTCCGGTTTTTGTCTGATAAATTCAAAATTATTATCGAGCTTTCATTTTATAGAGAACAAAAAAAGTTGAAAAACTTGATATAAGAACGATTTTTCCAACCTCTTATCGATAATTGGATCATTTGAAGTTAGCCTCAAATCAATTTTCCACCTTCGTAGCATGAAAAAAACTAAAAAGAAATGAGAAAAATTTACCTTTGCTGTGAAATTTCTGACCAAACCTTTTCTGGAACACGCATCGGCAGCTTCACCACGAGCAAGACTGTTTATAAACAATTCTGTGACAAAATTATCATAATAATCAAAGAAAATGAAGAAATTAAGGAAAAAAAGAGAAAACCAAAAATTTTCGAATTTCGAAACATGAGCTTCTGCGTCGTGGTAAATGCACATACATTATAAATTACGCCAAGCTTTTTCCGATCTGTGAAAAGTAAATTCTCTTTTTTTAATTGCAAAAACGGTTTTTCAAAGCGGGGTTTCATAATCAATAGCAGCACCTTCGGGATCGAAAGTTCAAAAAGAAAATCTTTTTATCTCTTAATGAGTCTCAAAATCTTTTCAAACTGCTTTCCTGTTTTTCGAAAGTTTGTCGTTTTTTTGTTTTCCTGTTCAATTTGGATTGCAAAGTGAGTTTTTCACCTATTTTCTGTGCCGCCTCAATGTTGAGAGCATTTTTCTCAAAAAAAATTGAGTCCAAACTCGAAAATTGCTTTTAGGAACAAGGTCATGCAGGCAAATGACACTCTGTCCGCGAAATTTCGACTTTACTTGTTTCATCCTACTTTTATTTCACTCTGTGAACTTGAGGTTATGAAAAACGTTTATTTTCAGGTGGGAATTTACTAAATTAAATGGATTATGATGCGGACACACTAACAACAGCGAAAAAGAACCGAGCCGCGAGTCAACAATTTTACGATTTTATTTTATTGGTTAGTTATTTTTTTAAACTTTCAATTCAATTCAATTTGTTTATTTTTTGCAACGTCGGGATGGTATGGTGATGTTGCAGGGAGGGAAAAAGACCACTAGGTGGATTAACTAACCCCACCTGTAAAGAAAAAGTTGAGCTAGTTTTTTGTTAAAAATAGTTTTTACATGTAAATTTTTATTTGGCCTAAATTTTCTATGGTAATATTTCGCTTTTTACAGTATAAATATATAGTATCCGGTATTGATTATTAACATTCTTAGAAAAGTTTCAAACCAATTTTTTTCAGGATCAATTTTTGAGGTGTTTAAAGGCGCAGAGGGCTGGTTGTTCTAAAAATGGGTTTTTTTGGTCTAAAGACCTTTATTTATTTGGTCCATGTGCCTTTTAAAAACTTCAGCAAGAGTTTCTAATCCCTTCATAAATTATTCATTATGGAGGTAATAATCAAGAATCTATGTTTTCAAAAAGTTCTTTTGAGAATTATTGCTACTTTTTTTACTCTTATCAGTCAAAATTAGGAAAAATAAATAAAATATTGAAATATTAGCTTTTGGTTGAACAGTTTAGAGCTTCAATTCTAAATAATGATAAAAAAATCGAAGTTGACTAGAAAAATTTATTATTTTCGAGCACTAATTGATGCACGGCAAGACTATTTTTGAGAAAGTTGGGTGGTCCTTTTAAACTTTATCAATTTAGCTCGAAATTTGGCTATTTTCTGTGAATAAGATATGGCTCCATTTCCAGCTGCCCGCGCCTTAAAAAGTAAAAACCAAGCTTTGCCAAAAACGGAAGGACCCTTCGAGGGTCATAAAGGCAGTTGGTAGGCTCTATAGGAACGTTCCTTTTAGGGTGAAGAAGGTTCCCTTTTAGCTCCTTTTTTCAGCCCTTTTGCACCATTTTTGCTTCTCCACCATTTCTCGAGCCTTTGAAACCCCAGAAAAATGAAAGGCTTGATAAAGGGACCCTTTTTGCTGCCTTTTTGCACCATTTTTTGAGCCTCTTCCTTTTAGCGGCTATTATCCGCCAATCCGTCTTTGCCCGAGAGTTTTAGGAATAAAAACTGAAAGCGTCTGTGTACAGAACATTTTTCCACTATTTCTCGATTTTTTAAAATTTTCATAACAGTCCGGGAGTAGGATTCTTCGAAACCTCAACTGAAAAATGTCAAATTTCCAGTTTTTTAGATTTTTCTCTCTCAGATTCTTGACGTGACGCCATTACCACATTTTGACATTGTCCAAGGTATTCACATCCTTCATTTTGTGAAGGTGAGGATCGGCGTGAAAAAATTCCCTCGTAATTGCGCTCCGAGGAACGAAAGAACGACAAAGTGCAATTATGCGCCGGCGCATACTTTTGCGGTGTTGAAAAGGTGGAAAGAAGGAGACGAACCCATCAAAACGCAAGAAAGGACACCGGCCTGTCTCACCTTCGCTTTTTACCTCCCTTCTGACTTCCTTTTTTGGCGCTGAGATTCGGGAAAAAAAGAGATGTAGGCAGAGTTTATGGCTCCATTCATCTTGACAAGGAAGGTCACTTTGAGTTTTTTTTTTTCAAGAAAAGTTGCTGGAACTCTGCCAGAACTACTGAGAATAATTCCAGTGGCCTCTATAGGGTTTTGACGCTTTAGTGACCACTATAGTAGTCAAATTAGTGGCCAGTTTAAGGGTTACAAATTAGTGGCCGAACTATGAGTATATTTTGTAAGTTGAAAAAAAAGTGATGTCGTCGAGCAAGCAAAATAATTTTCGGCTTGATTTTAAAGATCTTTGGAAAAAAAGTGACGTCACTAGGCGTAGTTTTGAGAAGTCAGTGATGTCATTAGCGGTCAATTATGACGTCACCACCTTTTGAATGACGTCATTATTTGAGTGTACTTCAGTGACGATAAGTATGACTTTGCGACTTCTGATAAATGAAAAAAGTCATGAAAAAATGACGTCACTAGGCCGAATTTTGAGAAGTCAGTGATGTCATTAGCGGTCAATTATGACGTCACCACCTTTTGAATGACGTCATTATTTGAGTGTACTTCAGTGACGATAAGTATGACTTTGCGACTTCTGATAAATGAAAAAAGTCATTAAAAAATGACGTCACTAGGCGGGGTTTTGAAAAGTTAGTGATGTCATTAACGGTGAATTATGACGTCACCACCTTTTAAAATGACGTCATTTTTCGAGTGTACTTCAGTGACATAAGGTGTTAAAGTGCGACTTCTGATAAATGAAAAAAGCTATCAAATAATAACGTCACTAGGCGGGGTTTTGAGGAGTCAGTGATGTCATTAGCGGTGAATTATGACGTCACCACCTTTTGAAATGACGTCATTGTTCGAGTTTACTTGAGTGACGATAAGTATGACTTTGCGACTTCTGATAAATGAAAAAATGACGTCACTAGGTGGAGTTTTGAGAGTCACTGATGCCATTAACGGTGAAGTATGACGTCACCACTTTAAAAAATGACGTCATTAGGCGAAGTTTTGAGAAGTCGGTAATGTCATTTACGGAAAAAATTGAATCATGACGTCACCACTTTAAAAAATGACGTCACTAGGTAGAGTTTTGAGAAGTCAGTGATGTCATAAACGGGGATTTATGACGTCATCACCTTTTGAAATGAGGTCAATGTTCGAGTATACTTCAGTGACGATAGGTCTTACCTAATAAATAAAAAAGCCATGCCAAATTTCCCCCAAAAAGAGGTCCCTTAAGGAAAAGAAAGGAATTTGAGTGACAAGCGGCGGTCGAGGAGGATCGCAGCCATCCATTATGCGTTTACCTTGGGACCCGTTCAAGGTTTTTTCCTGTTTTTGCCTTTTGTCTGCTGTTATCTGTACGTTTTTTTGGTTGGAATTTGAATAGTTTCAGATTTTTGTGGACTGAAAAATACAAAATACGCCCAAAATAGGTTTAATATTTGCAGAAATTGGTACCGCTTTCGAAAGGATTTGAACTTGGGACATTTTTGATCATTTCCTAGGCTTGAAAGACTGATAATATCAATTTTTAGAAGGTTTTATGTTCAGTAGGATCTCTTGAAACAATATTGTTTTCCTATTTCAATTTACTGTTCTTAATTGAGTTTTCGTGGTCGCAATGAGAATGGCTCAAAGCGTTGCGGTCGCCTTGCGGTTTGAATTAAGGTTATAGGCCTTTCATCGCTGTCTGATATACAGTTTTCACGTGTCTGCGTCTCTCTGTTCCCTCACCGGCGAGGTCAGAGAAACATGAAAACAACACGTTAAATTGAGAGAGACGTCGAGAGATAAGGAGGGCGCAGAGAAGCCCTTTGAAGTCACGAAAAACGGACTATACAACTAGAGAAAATTTTGGCTGGAAAAGGAGCTTTAAACCTTTTTTTTAAAAGTACTCTTGACAGTTTTCGCGCAAGTCGTTTTGAGTCGGGCACAGCCTTGATGTAACTTGGGCATTTTTTGAGTCATTCCAAATGCGACCAAGGAGTTTAAAGTCGTAGTGAATGTTCTAAGAGCACTTCCAAAAACTTTTGAAAAAAGCGATCTTTCCATGAGATTTCCTACCTATAGGTAAGAACAGGTAAAGATCAAAGGTAAAACCCGCGGGAATTCCTCTGCTTCTCTGCCCCCTCCGCCATCTGTCAGCAGGTGTTCGATCCCCACGGCGACACCAGCCGGCCGGTTGGTCCGGTCGGTCACCTCCGTTGACCATTTTTTGGCTTTTTCTCTGCCGGCCCTGCGTCTCTCCGCTTTTCGCCCTGTCTCTCGCCCCCACCGGTCGCCTCTGTCTTGGCCGTGTACGTTTGTATTGTCGTCCTGTGTTGGTGTGTGGACCTTGATACGAATTTTTGAACCACTTTTTCAGTCTCACCTTTTTAATTAGGAGTCTAATTAGGCTAATTATTGACAGGTAGATAAAAATCGTTTTTTTGATGTTTTTGTTTTGAATGTGTCTGTTTTGAGACTATTTTTTTGCAGTTCTATATGTTCATTATGAATTTGATTAGGCTAATTAGGGGCAGGTAGATTTTTAAAGGTTTTTGCAAAGTTGATATTTTTTTGAATTTGAGTTTGATTAAGCTAATTAGTGATAGGTTGATTTTTAAAATTGCGAAGTTTCAATTTTTCCGGTCTGTTTTGAATAATTTGGATCGTTGTAGTTGAAATATGTGTGTTTTTGAGCCAAATCTTTAAAGTTCTACCTGTTTATTAAGGTTCAAGGTATTGATAATTAGAATAATTAGTGATATGATTCAGCTTTTTCGGCGCTTTTGTGTGTCTTTGTTTCTTTTAGGGCTTTTGGGCAACTTTTTGAGTCCAGTTTTTAATTTTTATTGAATGTTTCATTATATGTAATTAGGCACATTGAAAGTAGTATGAACTTTCTTTTTATTTTTGTTAGGTCTGGGATTTTAGACTTGTTTGAACTGGTTTCATTCATTGAGAGCTTCAAAATGTGCAGTTTTGTGCTAATTTTTCTCCAATGTAAATAATTGAAATTTTTTAATTTTTCAGCGTTTTTTCCTGTTGTTAAAGGTTAGGTAAACTCGATTTTTTGAATTTTCTTTAAGGGTCTGAAATTTGTTTGCATCCGATCACATTTTTCTGAGTTTATTTTAATTTTTTGCATTAAAATGAAGGTGAAATCGAAACTAGGCAAAATAATTAGTATTGGGAACCTTTTCCGGACTTTTTTTTCTTTTATGACTTTTGGAAGCCTTTTTAATTTTATCATTTTTTCTTTCAATTTCTCTCATTTGTTCTTGAAACTAAACATTTTTCAAACGTTTTCGATTTTTTAAACAGATCATCCTCTGATTTCAATGTTGAAAACTTGAAAAACTGAAAGAAAACGCTTCAAAAATGTTTTTCCCCCTGTTCCCATGATAAACCGTACCCATAATCCTTGAGGTATTTCCCAAAATGCGCACATTTTTGCTTATCAATGGGAAAAATTTGCATCTCTCCACAGTCTCCGCCCACGTTATTGCCCAGTTTATGACTCATTTATTTCTTTTCTTTACTTATTTCTTTTTCAATTTCATGCACGGAGTATCGATTTATGTGGAGCTGAGACTTCTTATTTTTTTCTATAAATGGAATAGTAGCTGTTTTTTTGATCGGGTAAGAGCGCTCTATTGATAAAATTTGGGGGAAACTGAGCTTCTAAGTACAACTTACCATTGAGATTCCTAATTTTTCCCTTTTCAAGTTTTTAACTCTTCCAACTGAAAATTTCTGGTTTCGTCTAAATTTTTCTGGTACTAAAGATGCCTAGAAATTTTTCCTATCGAAATAATCAAATTTCAATCTATAATATTTCCAAAATCTTCCAATAATTTATTCTGAACCTTTTTTTCTTCTTTTTACGATTTTTCTCACTCGATCGTTAATCAATTTCCGATTCAAATTGGATTTTTGTAGTTTTTCACCTGTATTTCCACCTCAATCTTGGTAATCTTCCCAACATTCAATCAAGAAACATGAGCACTCCTCCGATGAAGGTGAGTCCTTTCTTCAGACTTCTATAATTTAGCCATAGGGCGCAGAAAGTTATGTATTTTTGGGCTCCGTGGACTTTTATTTATTTCATGATGATATCCAGCTGTAAAAGAGTCACAGAAAAAGATGAGCCTTTAAAAATTGTCTTTAAAATTGAAACAGACTCGAAAAATGTTGAAAATCATGGCTTTTGAAATGGTGGTATGACACCGGCGAAAATTCAAACGGCGACTTTTTCCGATTTTTTTCATATCGCTAGGAAACTTTCCGACGGCCACCTTTCCGACGAAACTTTTTCCGACTTTTTCTCGATAAACTCTTCGTTTTACATCTTCCTATATAAAGTAGGTAGTTTGTTCATAATTAAAACACAAAGAAATAGGAAAAAAATGTTCATAGATGTTTTATAAACCGAAAAAGCATAAGGGAAAAAGTCGGAAAAAGTTTCGTCGGGAAGGTGGCCGTCGGAAAGTTCCCTAGCGAAATGAAAAAAATCGGAAAAGTCGCCGATTGAATTTTTCGCTGGTGTTTTTTCATACCACCTTTGAAATGTTTTTTTGTTATCCATGGGGCGCATAAGTTGATTATTTAGAGCCTAAGTTACTTGAAATTAATTTAAGACGGTATCCTATTGAAAAAAATGACTGACAGGACGGTCATAATTTTCGAAATAGTGTTTATTCTCCATGGAGCACAATTGACTTTAATTCTCAATTTTTCGAGGCTTTTTTATGGTCTCTTTGTTCCTAGCTACTTGAGATCAATCTACGACGATGTCACGAACAGCCTGGTTGCATTTTTATTCAGGGTGGTGTTCTGCCGATGAAACAATACAATATCGGTGCCGTTATATAGCGAAACAGTTACACGTGGCTTTCCCAGACATTAAGTATTCAAATCGATTCATGAGAAAAACAGGGGCAGCCGGGGCAAATGTCATAAAGAATCTCGTGACGTTTCACGACACTCCCAAGGGAACAAGGTTGATTAGGCTCAAACAACATTTAAAATTCAGAAACAGTTAATGATGCCATTTTGGTCTACTGACGAGTACTCAAGGTTTAGTACTGTCCATGAAAAAAAAATGATAGGAAACAAGAAGTTAGGGATTCAAGGATCCAAGGCTAACTCTGGGTTCACAGGCGACAGGTTGCTCGACCTTTCACGTCGGCCTGCTTGTTCCTATTCCCAACGATGCTGTGAGCACTCGTAGGGGGAGGGGGTCCTCCCGACAAACAAAAAAAATGGGAATGAAAACCACGAAATGCATCAGTTAACATAGAAGTGTGAGGCGATGAAATGAGCTGGATATCGGCGTTGTTGCGTTGTCGATGGATGACTTTTGCTCGCAGCACTGGACTGTGTTCACGGCAGTAGCACTGGATGCGGAATATGTAGAATAAGCTGATGACTCTCTGACGTGGAAAGGGATCGGCTCCTTTCCAAGACACAGAAGAGCTGACGTGAATAGTTGATGGGCTGGTAGAATGATGTCAGAGGTCATCAGCGAAGATTGTAGGCCTCGATCGTAGTGGTCGCCATGTCACGAACAGCCTGGTTGCATCTTTATTCAGGGTGGTGTTCTGCCGATGAAACAATACAATATCGGTGCCGTTATATAGCGAAACAGTTACACGTGGCTTTCCCAGACATTAAGTATTCAAATCGATTCATGAGAAAAACAGGGGCAGCCGGGGCAAATGTCATAAAGAATCTCGTGACGTTTCACGACAGACGATATCCCTGTGGAAAAATTTATCGCCAGGACGATCTTAATTTTGAAATCAATCTTGGTTATCCATGGAGCACAAAAGTCTTTAATTCTCCATTTTTCGAGGCTCTTTTTTCGTCTCTTTGTCCCGAGCTACTTGAGATCAATCTAGAACGGCATCTTTTTGAAAAAATCACCGCCAGCACGGTTATAACTTGTAAAATAATTTTATTCTCCATGGAGCGCAAATGTCTTTATTTCTCAATTTTTCGAGGCTCTTTTGTCGAATTTTTTTCTCGAGCTACATGAGATCAAACAGCGACGATATCCCTGTAGAAAAATTACCGCCAGGACGGTCATAATTTTGGAATCTTTTTTGGTTGTCCATGGAGCGAAAATGTCTTTAATTCTCAGTTTTTGGAGGCTCTTTTGTCGAATTTTGCTTCGAGCTACTCCATGACTCATTTTCAACTCTCAACACGTCGGAAAATGTCTTGTTCCAAGTACGCGACAAATAAAAGAGTCCGAAAAGAGAGTGTGAAAAGAAAGCCGATTGGAATCGGAGGGGGCGGAAGAATAATGTCCGACGATTTTTTTCGTGTCTGGCTTCTGTTTGCCTCCCGGGTAGAGCCGACCGATCGTTGGCGCGTCGGTAGCAATCGAAATCTGAGCTTTTGTGCAAAGAGAACACCTTTTCCTACCCCCTTTTCAATTCGCGCCAACCGTTTCCGGAATTGAACTCGGCTACTTGACGCAGTGACGCAATCTTTATAATCCCTGAAATTTTTTTGGTCTCTTTTCCTTGAGTTAAAGGTTACTGTAATCCTAAGGTGATGCTAGACGTGAAAGAGTTTCTTATTCATTCATTTGAGGTTTCAATTTTCAAAAAGGTGCCAAAAATCTGATATTTTAGGAAAAAATTTCTGAAAAAAAATCTTTTTTGACAAACTCATCCAAGGAAGGCTTAAAGTTTTGAAAATTGATTTTTTAAGCCTCTATCCACCGCGATTTGAAATGTTCTGACCTGTCTGCGCCCTCTCAATCTCTCGTTTGCACGGTTTTTTTATTCACTTAGAAACTCCAGAGTGGTCTCTATAGGGACAGCTTTTGGGACCCTTTTACCAACCCCTATAGGGGCCACTAAAGCTTGCCAAAGAGATCCCTATAGGGATTTCAGTTAGTGGCCCCTATAAGAAACATGCTGATCGATAATTGTTGTAAACTCTATGTGAAGAAGAATTTTTATGAGGAAAAACTGAATAAATGAACGTTTTTGAATGAAATTGAGAGACCCCTATAGGGTCCACTTGAGCTTTAGAGGCTAAGGGGTCAGACCCTAAACCTCTATAGGGACCACCTTAGTTTTACCCCCTATAAGGACCACTTTTTTCGACCCCTATAGGAATTTTCGACTGACAAGTCGTGCTGAATGTAGAATTTCCAACTGAAAAATATGTGTTTTTACAGATTTTCTGAGTATTTTTTTCTGAATTTTGAAGCCTCAAGTTCCTGAAAAACATTCATTTATTGTAATTCCAGACGTTCCAGACACTTTTTTCACGGAATTGAGTTATTTTTTTCCCCTTTTTTTCTCATTGACTTTTTGAATTTTTTTCTTCCAATTTCAAAACCTTGAAAAAGATGTTTTTTGAATTTTTTCTCGCTAATGAGGAGGAAAGTTTAACAGAAAAGGGTCAGCTGTCATTTTTCGTTTACCTAAATATTTGAACAAGGCTTTTTCTCAGTTTTGTTGGGTTTTTCGGTTTGACGTTCACTGTTCAAAAGTGAACAAAAAAACTGCAACTGGAGTCAATATTTAGTCGTAGTTTTTGGATGAGATTCTCTTGACTTCTGAGAAAATATTATTGATAGAGGATCTCAAAAGCTTAAAGTTATGCCCTTGACAAAAAAATGAATCAAATTTTTTTAGCTTAGCTTTTTCCTCATATTTTTGAAGGGTTAAAATCACGCTCGAAATGGGTTTTTGAAGAAATTTAAGTCAAAAAATCTGGAAAAGAGTTTTTTTCTTTGATCTTAATTAATTTGCAAAGGCTGAGTTATTTTAAAGTGCCAAAAATTAAGAAACCACCCCCCAATGAAGCCCCATTGACTAAAAAGTTCTTTCATCATAGGTTTAAAATTTAACGTCATATTTTCATTAGGAAAAATTCCCACATCAAGGAAAGTTTGGTGCACTTTTAGTGCCATCAAACTCCCCCAAAGGAAAAAAATAATATTGATTGATGAATTAACTTTCATAGTTCAATCATCATAGGCTCGGAATTAACCGTCGTACTTTTTATTATAGGGAAAAAAAGACCTTTGAAATTACTTTCGAAGGAAGTTTTAACATACTTCAAAAAAATTTTTTGACCTGGAAACGTAGTATAATTTTTTTCCTGATACTGAAAAAAACAAGTCCCAGTAAGAAAATAAACTTGGGAAGTTAGTGCATTTTGAGAACCAAAAAAAGTTCAATCAACCCCCCTTTTTTTCAACAACCCCCTTTTCAACAACCCCTTCCCCCGCCCCTACTCTGTTTATCATAGGTTTTGAAATTTACTTTTTATTAAAAAGGAAAAGGCTTTTTGAAATAACTTTCGAAGGAAATTTTTAGAACTTTTTTAACGTCTTCGTGAAGTTTTTAACGTTATTTTTATTTTACCGGAAAAAAATATTCCACAAAAAAATCAACATGGAAAGTTAGTGCATTTTAAGTACCAGAAAAACACTTCAACGAACCCCCCGCCCCCACTTTATTCATCATAAGTTTGGAATTTACCGTCATATTTTTTTATTATTAGGACCTTTGAAATAACCTTCGAAGGAAATTTTATCTTTTTGACGATTAACCGAAGTTCTGACGCTATTTTTTTATAATACCGGGAGAAAAAACAAGTCCAACCAAGAAAAAAAAACAGCCAAAGAGGAGGAAATGAAATGTTTGCGCGGCGATGATGTGATGAGTCATCGCGGCTGAAATTTTTGCAACAACTCGCTCCGACACTTCCCCCTACACAACGTTCCTGTTTCAGACATTTTATTATAGTTTTTCTGGATTGTTTTTATTTTTTTCGACATATCAAACATAGTTCAAGTATTTTTGCAAATTTTTGTAATTCCAAAGATTTTTTTGAATAGGTAAATTTAGTAAATTATTGAAAAAAATCGCTACTTATTTCAATGAGAAATGAGTTACTAACAAGGATGATCATTTTTACTTTTTCAGTTGGGAATTTTCCTGGAAATTTGTCAGGATGCTCTTCGATGTACCAGGAGAAGATTCTAAAGTCTCAAAACTGCTCATGAATTCCTAGTTTTTTTCGAGAAAAGAAAGTCGATGAAAACCCTCAAAATCCATTAAAATAGGTTAATTTTTCGAGCTTTAGGCCCTTATTTTTTTCGGAAAACTAGGACGTTTTACAGTTTGAGACTTTCTATCCATCTGGTACATCTAGGAGTGTTCTGGCTGAGTTTTCAGGAGTGTTTCCAATTTTTTTCGAACGCATTTTTTTGTCTCAAAAAAATGTCACAGAAATGAAAAATAAATAGGTTTTTTTGAGGTTGAATTGAGCATTTTGAGTCATCATGAGTCATGTTTTTGACTCTTGACGAGAGAATTTTTCTCTCGAGTTTTTTTAAAACTATTGGTATTTTATCAAGAGATGAACACTAGAATTCCCTGAGAAACGTTATTTTTTTAACTTTCGAAAAAAATCCTCAGCCTAAATGATTTTTCCTGTTTGCAGGAAGGTTTTTAAATCTTCAAGTTTTTTTCTTCGATGCTCGTTTGATGCATTTTTTTCATTTTCTATGCTGAAACTCTTGAATTTAATAAGAACTATTTATGAATTTTTTTAAAGGGCTTTCTGTAAAATTATTATAATGCCCCTGGTTAGGAATACTCAATTTAAAATCTTTTTTTGAATAATTTTTCAAATTTTTTTAGGTGCTCTTTGGGTTATAAATTATATCAATGGCCAAAAACTAGATTTTTAACTCCTTATTATCCGATTTCACTTCTGGATCTCTTGGTACCCTGAGAAATACAATACTATTAATAATAAAGCTTTTTCGATTGCCGAAAAAAATTTTTCTTCATTCTTTTTTTGTTACAGTTTTTCTGGCTTCCTTTGGGCTTATAAATGATGTCAATCGCTCAAAATACTCAACTTAAAGCTTCTCTAGGGTCATGTTTCTTTTCTGGATCTTTTAGGATGAGAATAAGGCCATTTTAGGGAAGGTTAAGTTTCTTAGGCTCTCAAAAGATTTTCCTACACCCTTTTGCGGTTTTCAAGCTTTTTAAGCCCTTCTAGATGTCAATGGCACAAAAAACTTGATAGAATGTTTCTTAAGCGTCATTTTCCTTTTCTAGATCTCATAGTACCCAAAAAACGCCGTTTTAACGAACTATAAAGCTTTTTTTCTCCCGTCTTTTAGGCTTAAAGGGGGTTTCAATGACTTCCAATCTCCTTCTTGATTTTTTATGATCGGAAAAAGGTCATTTCAGTGAAAATTAAGCTCTTGGATTCCCAAAAAGTTGATTTTATTTTTGCGGTTTTCAGGCGTCCTTTAGGCTTATAAATGATGTCAATCGCTCAAATAACTCGATTTAAAGCTTCTCTCGCGTCATTTTCCGCTTTTTAGGTCTCAGGGCACTCGAAAAAGGCCATTTTAATGGAAATAAAGCTTTTATGCGTCTTAGAGGCTTAGGGTAGGTTACAATGGCCTAAAATACCCCCCCGCCCCCAAGCTTCTTATTGATTTTTTGATTGGAAAAAGGTCATTTAGTGAAAAATGAAAGCTCTTGGAAGGATTTTTCTTTATTTTTTTACGGGTTTTTAGGCGTTCTTTAGGCTCAGAATACTCGATTTGAAATCCTCTAGAGCCATATTTCTGTTCGGGATCTTTTAAGATGGGAATAAAGCCATATCTGGAGAGATTATACTTCTTCCGCTCCCAAAGGATCCTTTTGCGGTTTTTTTAAGCTTTTTTTTTAGGCTTAAATATGTGGCAACGGCTCAAAATACTCAAAATAATGAAGATAAACCTTTTTCTGGCGTCTTATAGGCTTATAAGTGATGTCAATGACTCAAAACACTCAATTTAAAGCTCCTCTAGGGTCACATTTCTCGTCGGGATCTCTTGATACCCGAAAAAAAAGGGCCGTTCCCATCATCTCAGCGGGGTGAATACATCGCGAAAAACGGCCATCTGCTTGCTACACGCACAAAAATGCCAAGCATTCGGTGCGAATTCACCATTTTCCCATTTCAAAACCGATCATTTTCACTTTGCGACCGCCGATATTCATCTTTCTTTTGGCCTTCTCCATACACACGACCTTCTCTTCCCCTTGTTTCTTGCTATTTATGGCCTTTTAATATGCGCATGGGATCGATTGAGTGGATTTTACAGTTGAGGAAGGAGCTTGGGAGTTTTTTGGAGATTTTTAGCTCGAAATTAGCTCAGAAAAAGCCTTGAAGTTTTTTTTGAACACTTTTTTGAACTTTGGGGTTGTAAAAATTGATTTTCTCAGAAGTTTCAAGTTGAATACGAGGATCTGAGGGAGTTTTAGAAGAATTTTATTGAGAAAAGATATTTGAAAAAATTTTCCTACACAAAATCGGCCGCGTAGGAAGCTTTCATCCAAATAATCTTCATTATTTTTTCAAAGTTCCAGGAGATTTTTGAAGTTTCTCAAGCAGTTTTTAATATTTTCAAAACATAATTGAAAAATATTCGAAATTTTAAATTTCCGTCCAAAACGACCACACAATAGCCATCAAATGGAACTTTTATCCGTTTTTTCTTCCTTTTTTTTCTTGGCCGCTCAGAGGTCATAAAAATTGGCCGTAAGAACCTGATCGCCGCCCTTTTATAGCCTATTCCGCCTACTGAACATTGTCGATTTTCCTCTACCCCTTGACTTTCTAATCAAAAAATATACTTTTAAAAAGCGCAAAAAGATTGCTTGCTCCCGGTGAGGATCGAACTCACGACCTTCAGATTATGAGACTGACGCGCTGCCTACTGCGCTACGGAAGCGGCCGATGTCGGAGAGCCTCTAGTGCCACTATCACACGCGGCGCGCCCTTGATAGAACTCATTAGTTTATAAAAAAATTATTTTTTTGGGATTAAAGTATGATTTTTTATTCTAAATTTGCTATTTTTTTAGCCTTTTTCATCACGTTATTTTCAATGTAAATTTTTTTGATTTTTTTCAGGTCGAAATAAAGCTATTTTTTTGTAATTTTTCACAACAAAAATATCATTCTTTGATCGTTAATTCAACGTTTTTCCAGCCTGCAAGAACTCTACTGCCCCACGAAATCCCGCAAATGCTGCACCGAAGCCCGTCGGGCGCCAAGCGGAAAAATCCGGCAAAAAAACAGTGAGTTCGGATTTTTTTCTCAATTTTGCAAGTTTTTTTAAACGTTTTTTTGGTAGTTTTATCGAAAATGAAAATTATTAATTAATATTTTTGGCTTAAATTTCTGCGTTTATGAAAAAATTCTGTTGTAAACTTGATTGTTTTGCTGGTGATTTTCGTCAATATAAAAATAGTTCTCTGTATTGAAACGAATAGGGATTGAACTTGCGACCCCTAGCTTGATAGTCAAGCTTCTTATCCACTAGACCAACCAACTAGCTCAACGTCGTTCATTCATGTTCGATAATTATAGGTTCAATCACTGCATACGGTGAGGAAATAAGTCGTTTTAATAATCCAAGACAGAGTGTGGATTCCAGAGTCTCGCGACCGTCGCCATTCCTCTCGCCGTCTTCCTCATCGTCAGTGACGTCATCGACGTCGCCGACGCCGACCGACGACGGGAACTATCGGTCGCTCATCGATTCCGGCGACTATCAGTCGATCCTCCCCAACTATGAGCCCGTCTTCGCCCCGATCCCTCCGCCAAGGTATAGATCAGCTTTCTGATATTTAAATAGTAGAAAAAAGGGATTTAGAACGAGGAAATTGGTATTTACTTTCTAAGACATACTCTGAATGTTCTGAAACTTGCTAGGCTAGAAAAAATATATTTTTGAGTTTTGAAAGTTGCAATTTACTCTAGACTTCACGACTAAAAAGGTCATTGGATCGACTCTTTTCGACATTTTTTCAATTTTTGCCGTTTTTTTTCTAAATGCAGAACTTAGAGCTGTAATATTTACAAAATTTGGTTTTTTTTTTGATGGCTAAATACTATTTTTGATCGAACTGAGGTCACGGGTTCGACCCTTTTTGGTGCTTTTCAATTTTTGCCGTTTTTTTTTCAAGTGCGTTGGTATCAAATGCAGATCAGGATTCTCAGAGCTGTAAAATTTAGAGATTTTAGAGTTTTATTGATGACAAAAGCTCTTTTTATAGATCTGAGGTCACAGGTTCGACTATTCTCGATATTTTTCGATTTTTTGCCGTTTTTTTTTCAAGTGCGTAGCTATCAAATGCAGATCAGAATTCTTAAAGCTGTAAAATTTACAGATTTTACTCTTTTTTGATGGTTAAAAGGTTTTTTGATCTATCTGAGGTCCCAGGTTCGACTCCTGTATTTGCTTTTTTGCCTTTTCACGATTTTTCGAAAAGTCTTTTTTGGTCACGTAAGTTGAAAATCGGAAAAGTGGGGTTTTCAACCTTTTTTTCCAGTCCTTAAGTGGTTCCAGTAGTTTCAGGAAGAAATAAACCAGTTTTTTCCCGGCCAGAATCTGTATCTTTACCATAAAAACTCGAGTTTTCCTCCCTGCCAGAGGACCGAAAATCGAGTTCTTTTTTGTCCCTCGTCCTGTTCAAGCCATTGAAATGGATCGTCGGCGCACACAAACACCAAGCGTATTGTCACGTTGTGTGTGTGTGTGTGTGACTGTGTGAGCACTCGAGGAGCTCAAAGCAACCGGAGCCGACTTTCGGAAGCTTTTCCTCCGGCCGAAAACCGTTGCTCCTTCGGCTACCGCTGATTTCGGAGCGTTTTGCAGAGTTTTCGGTAGTTAATTCTGTTCATTTTCGATTTTTGATTTTCGTTTTTGAAAGGGTCATAGTTCTGGCGATCTTTTTTTTCTGATAAAATGTGGAATTTGGCCTTTTTTGTCTTGGTTGAAAGGTGGAAATCTTTGCTCCTTTGGCTAGCGAAAATTTCGGAACATTTTGCGGATTTTTCGGTAGCTAATTCTGTTCAGTTTCGATTTTTAAATCACTTTTTGAAAGGGTCATAGCTTTGGCAATCTTTTTCTTCTTAGAAAAATAATTTAGTTTTTTTGAGATCTCTAAGAATTTTTTGTAGTGACTTTAGCTTTTTTTACCTATTTTTTTCTACGCTTTTTAGGCTTGAAAAAAATATGAATTTTTTTGTGGTTTCTTTTTGTCTTGGTTAGTTTGCGGATGGTTAAAAATTGTGCTCCCATGTTTACTAGTGAGCTTGGGAGCATTTTGAAAAACATTTTTAAAATTTCGTTGAGTTTTTCATTTTTAACGTGCAGGAGTTTTTTCCAAATTCATAGTCATTTGAGATCGTCTGAGAGTTTTTTTGTAGCGATTTAATAGTTTTATATTTTTAGTTTATTTTTTTAGAGGTTCATGGTGAAATCTAGTAATTTATCTTGGCTTTCCGTATTTTCCTACGCTTTTTAGGCCTGAAAAATGTGGACTTTTGTGGTTTTTGGTTTTTTTCGTGTTGATTAGTTAGCGGTTACTTCAGTGAAACCGTCGCTACCGGTTACATGCGGAGCAATTTCGGAAGTTTTTGAGAGTTTGTTTTTTGATGTTGATTTTTTGATTTTCAATGGGCTTTTTAGATGATCCTTTTTTGAGTTTTTGGTAACTTGAGAGCGTTTGAAAATTGTTCGTAACGATTTGTTAGTTTTCCTTCCTATAGATTTTGTTAAAGTTTCATGGTTATTTCTGGCCTTTCCACGATGTTTTAGACAAAAATTTCTGATCTAATTTGGTTTTGTTTGGATAGAAGTTTTTCGTGATTTAGAAAATTCTCAAAAACCATATTTTTAGTCTGGTCTAACTCTGAGAGGACAAAAAGAAAAATTAACGATGGATTGAACTATATTGACAATCAAAATCACAGTTTCAAGTCAAGTTTTTTTCGAACTCGGAAAATTGACAGACATTGAATGTCTCATTTCTCCGATAATTAAAACATAATTTGCACAAGAGAATATTACTGACCCAAATCGAATCGAGGCGCGAAATCGCGAAGCGCCTCGTTTGCCCTTTTTCGTGTCCCCCCTCCTAAACTTTCACCTCTTCCTCTCCCAGCCTGTATGCCCGTGTGTGTGTCATTTCGTTTCGTCGCACTTGAGAAGTTCGCCGTTCCTTTTGTCAGCTTCTTCCACGCCTTTTTGGCTTGCAAATCGTGAATTTTGGCGCATTTTTTGGTCATTTATGGCCTCTAATGGCTTTAATTTTCGTCCTAAAGCTCCTAGGTTCAACCCTGTTAGTCTTTTTTGCTATTTTTCGGCTTTGTTACGTTTTCTAGGGTTGAAAAACGTTGATTTTGGTCATTTTTTGATCATTTAAGGCCTCTAAATGATTCAATCATCCCTTTAGAAGTCCTAGGTTCGACCCAAGTAGTCGTTTTTGCCATTTTTCAACTTCTTCCACGCCTTTTTGGCTTGGAATAGGTGGATTTGGGTCATTTTTTGGTCACTTATGGCCGATAAACGCTTGAATTATCAACGTTATGGTCCTAGGCTTAACCCCACTAACTCTGTTATTTATAATTTTCAGCTTTTCCTGCTCTCATCAACTTTTAATGTCTTAGGTTCAACCCCGGTAGTCGTTTTTTGCTCTTTTTGGCTTCTTTACGCTTTTTTGGCTTGGAAAACGTGGATTTTAGTCATTTTTCGGTCATTTATGGCCTCTAAATAATTCGATCATCACTCCAGAAGTCTTAGGTTCGACCCCGGTTTTCATTTTTGCTATTATGAGTATTTCATACTTTATTTTAACTTTAAAATTTTTGTTCGTTTTTCATTTTGATTTTTCGACGCTCAAACTGCCCTTCTAGTGCTTCTAGCGGCTTACCAAACGTGAATTTTATTCATTTTCCGTGTTGGATTTGCCTTTTTTCTTCAAATCTAGAGATCACGAGTTCGATTCCTGCCGCCGGTGGTTTCTTTTTTGCCTTTTCAGAAGTTTTTTCTTTTCATAGAGATCTACATTTTTGGATTTTTTTCAACAAAATCAAATAATTAAGAAAGGCTAGAGTTTTTATAAAATTGCTTGGGACTTGAAATTGTGAACATTTGTTTTTTTAAACCTCAGGAAGATCTCCTGAATTTTTTTGAAAACTGTGTTGGATCGATGTACGATAGATTTAACGTCTTTTTAAAAAAAAATCTACCATAAAATTTTTTTCTTATGGAATGCCCACCAATTTTCAGTCTTAAAAAAATAGGTTCATTTCTGTCTTTTTTCAAAAAAAAACTTTCCTAGAGGTTCCACTTTGCTGGGCTTCTCCTGAGAGCTCATGATTTGCTTGGCTTGACGACGAAACAACTTTTTTTTAAAATTTTACATGACTTTCCAATCAATATGAATCCAATGAGAGAAGCGCGCCGAAAATTAGGCAAATTTTTGCGAGAAACTTTGGGGACAGGTTCCGAAACCTTCCTTTGCGCCTCTTTTATGAGATTGAACGAGAAGAATTCACGCGCCACGCATTCCATTCATAATTTGCCGCCATTCACGGCTTTTTCCCTCCTGGAAATGCATGGTTGTTGTGTAAAATTAGGGTGAAGGTGAAGATCTTTTTACTTTTTGCTGTTGAAGTTTATCATGAGTGAAATTTGGAGCTTTTTAACTTCTTTTTTTCGAAACGTTCAGAAATGTCAGTAACAGGGGGCACTTTTTGCTGTTTTAAATGTTTAAATTTCCCTTTTTTTGAAAAATTGGTTCTGTTAGAGGTTTTTTTCGGCCCTTGAACTGTATTTTTTTATTCGTATTGAATAAAGGATGATGATGATGAAATTTCACTAATAGGGGGCACCTTACTTTGCGGTCGGCATTTTCCTGAAAATTGGCCAGAACCCTCCTTGATGTACCAGAAGAAGATTCTGAAATCCTCAACCTGCACAATTTCTTCGTTTTCTAGAAATAGAGGCTCAATGAAAACCCTCAAAACCTTTCAAAATCGCCCTTTTTTGGACTTTCAGCTTCTGTTTCTCGAAAACTAGGAAGTTGGGCGGGTTGAGGCTTCCAGAATCTTCATCAGGTGTTCTGGCCAATTTTCAAAAAATTCCCAATCGCAAAGTAAAATGACCTACCCTGTATCTTGAGTAAAATTTGCAGCTGTTCAATTTTTTTCTTTCGAAATTTTACATTCAAAAGTTTCACCAAAAAAAAATGTTTCCAATTTTTTTAAAATTTTTTTCTCGGATATTTGAAACAAACTATATCTTTTCTTCTTTTTGAATTTTTCTGGTCGCACTTGGAATGGCTTAAAGTGTTGCAGTTTTAATGTCGATCCTGAGTTTAGTAGGTTGTTTTACGGGTTTATGATGCTCCCGAGCGTAAGCAGTTTTGGGTCGGACATGCTTTTTACGGCTATTTTGAGCCATTCCACGTGCCGCCATGGGTTTTCAAGATGAACCATTTAGAGTAGTTTCCAAGCTTTTTCACTATTAAAAATTGATTGTTTCAAGCACTGTTATATTTTTTTTTCCGTTTTACGATTTTTGCAAGAAAGATCATATCTCCAAAAGAGTAAAGGATTCTATTTTTTAATTTTTTTTTGCGTCAAAAAATTCAATTTTTTGCCTTTTTTTCATTGTAGCAACCTTTTTAGAACATTGCTCATATTATAAAGAACACTATGAACTGACCAGCCAAAAAACTGTTTTTTTCGTGAACAGACAGATAATCCGTTCCGTTCCCGCGCACGGCGGATTAGCGCAGCCGGCTAAGCTGTTGACCGACGTCCGCGTGGTCGCTGGTTCGAAACCAGTTGACCGGCTTAAGCCGTTTTTGTCTGATTTTTCGCTCAAATCGAATTTTTTCGCTTTTCTGAAAGTTAGAAGCCTTTTTTTCTACTTCTTTGAATATTTTTGTCTAACTCGAGCTGATTTCTTCAATTATCAGCATTGAGAAGTAACCTAAACTCTTTTTTTCCTCGTCAAAAAGTCATAGGTTCAATTCCTAGCCAGGTTTTCGGATTTTTGCCATTTTTTGATCACTTTCAGAGAGCTCCGAACGCTCCAGAAGTACTATAAAGTATCAAACGAAATTCCGAAGGTTTTGCCATTTTCTTCAGACTTCCAGAAGTATTTTCTGAAGAGTCCAAACAAAAACTCTCGGAAAACGAGATTTCTCCCTCCCGAAACGTCCGCAGTTAATGGACGTCCGCAACACACGTGCACTATATTATGTCATTTGGTGTTGTTTTTTGTTGCGTCTGCGGCTGCAAAATGGGCGCAGAAATAAACCGGCTTTCGGCCACGCCCCCTTTTATGCGCCTTCTCGTCGAGAACGAATGAACTGAACCGTTTTTGGCGTCAGCTCCAGCTTTTGCCGTGATTTTTGAACTTTTTGAGAGGTGCTAGAAAATGACAAAAATTCGGACTCCCTGGGGAGGATTCGAACCTGTGACCTTCTTGATAATGCTACCTATTGAATTGTAGCTGCAAAATGGGCGCAAAAATAAACCGGCTTCTGACCACGCCCCCTTTTTTGCGCCTTTTCGTCGAGAATGAATGAACTGAGCCGTTTTTGGCGTCAGCTTCAGCTTTTTCCGTGATTAGAAAATGGCAAAAACTTGGATTCCCTGGAGAGGATCCGAACCTGTGACCTTCTTGATGTCGCTACCTATTGAATTGGAGTTTTCTCTCGCTTTCTCAAGTCATTTTGAGGGTTTTACAGTTTTTTGAAGCCTGCTAGACCCTGTGACCGTATCAAAAATTGATCAAATGTTTAATTTTTCTCATTTTTTCATTAATTTAATAACAGAGGAATGCTGATATCAATCCCAAACGGACAAAAAAGATCGAATCGTACAATTTTTATCGCTCCGCTCAACAGACGGTTTCTTTGTTGACTTTTCTTATCTTGGATTGAAATTCGAGTCTAAAAAGGGAATTTCGGTGAGGAAATGATGTGTTTCAGAACTAATTTTCAGTCAGTTAACTGGAAAATTGGGAATTTCCGGAATTTTTCTGAAAGAATCGAGTTTTGATAGAGAAATTAGACCGGAAGTTTGGTTCCTAGCAAGTTTTTTTCAAGATAAAAGGGTTACAGGTTCGACTCCTCCCCCCGAAATTGAATTTTTGCCATTTTCTATTCCTCTCGAAACATTTGACTTTGACTTTTTCTGAAGTAGCTGTTCAAGTTCCGTAAAATAAATTTTAATTTTTTCTTTTTTTATGCGTTTCTTAATATTGAATTCCTAATTTTTCAATCAAATTTTTTCTGAACTTCCAAAATGAACCGCCAACCTTCGGGATGGGCTACCTTATCATATAGAGAGAGAGGAAATTATCACTTTTATCACCTCAAATAATGGATTTTTGTGCCCCGGTTCCCATCATTTCCCGTTCTCATAACATCTTTAGAGAGGCCGAAGATTTCCTTCCCAAAATATGTACCGCCTCGTGATTTTTGTTCAGTTATTTGGTTTCCCAGGCTGATATGATCTTTTGGAAGGCTTTTAACCGGAGATTGTGAAGGGAAAGGTCGGTTTTTACTGATTTTTACTGAAATTTTGACTCTTTCTTGACTTTTTGACTACTCTCTCATATGAAGAAGCTTGAAAAAAATATTTTAATGACAAATTTCGTTTCCCATGATCTTTTGGAAGATTTTTAACTGAAAAACGTGAAGGGAAAAGTTATTTTTTACTGATTTTTCCGAAATTTTTGACTCTTTCCTGACTTTTTTTGGCTAATATCTCATGTAAAGAATTTTTCAAAATGAACTTTTTTATGAAGAATTTCGTTTCCCATGATCTTTTGGAAGGCTTTTTAACCGGAGATTGTGAAGGGAAAGGTCGGTTTTTTTACTGATTTTTTTATGAAATTTTGACTCTTTCTTGACTTCTTGGCTACTCTCTCATGTAAAGCATCTTGAAAATGGTTCTTCATGATAAATTTCCGGCGGCTTGTAAGTTTTTAGAAAATGGCAAAAAAATTAGAACTTGGAGGGAGCCGAACCTGTGACCTTTATTTTTCGTTACTTGTTTCCGAAATTTAATGTTTTTTGGTTGGATTAAAGATTTCTCACGTTTTTCTGGATGTACTTTGGTGCTATTAGAGTTTTTTTGGAAGTTTCGAAAATTAAAAAAATTAGAAAGACCTCGAGCAGGGGGGCTATCATGGCACTTTTTTTCAATATTTTTAAAACTTTCTCATTTTTCTGGTTAGGTTTTTTTCCGTTTTTTTCTTCCCTTTATGATGCTTTTTCGCCCTAATCAATAAATGGCATAATTTGGATCGATTTCCTGTAAAACCTATGACCTGCTCGCCATGTTTTTTTTTCCGAAATTTTTAAAAAATGTTCATTTTTTCAGGTTATCGGTACCGTTTTCGACGTCGATGAGCTCGTTGGAGATGTCTTCGTCGATGATGACGTCATCAATAATTCCGATGACGTCGTCTGTTCATATTGGAATGACGTCAGCGAAGCCGACGGTTGAGGTTCGTCGTTGGCTTCAAAAAAAAATCTTTTTTGACGTCCTGGAAAAGAGGTTTTATGACGTCATACTGTTGCTCATATTAGCTCAGGAACACGTGTTTGGATGAAACGTGACACCAAAATAAGTGCAAAAAAAATTTATATCTGGAGAGGACTCGAACCAGAGACCGTCTTTCTGGCTTCCGGCTCCTTAGCCACTTGACCAAGCTCTTCTAGCTCTTCTATGTAGCTGTATACCGACGTGATGAAATCAATGAGACTCGAAACGGCTTATCGAGCGCCTATATTTGTTGTTGACTTTTCAACACCGTCGATGCCATTTTTCTCGTCGTTTTTGGCAATCCTCCTTCTTTTTTTGGTATTTTTGGCCTGTAGGCTAGCGATTGAAGGTTTCTTTTCAATATCGAGGCTTTTTGCTCCAATCTGGCGAAATTTCGAAAAAAAAATGAATATTTTAAAGGCGCAGGGCGGGGCTTAAATTGATAGAGATTTTTTTCATGCTCCTTTGAATTTTTCGGCTAGATCCTTTACATCAATTTATCACATTGATTTTTGAATAAAGGCTTCGGTCAAGATAAACGAAATAGTATTAGAAAATGAGAGATTTTGAACTGATCCTGGTTTAAAAATATGAAATTACGTATTTTGTCAGTAAGCAAACGTAGATCAAGGTATTTGATAGAACTTTTTTTGAAAATTCATTTTTTTCAAGCCTTGAAAGTCGAATTTTTGACATTTTCCAAGTTTTCAGGTTCATCCGATGCCGACTGAAGAGCGGATGACGTCATCATCGGAAAGGAATTCCTCACTGAATAGTTCGATCGACACGGATATCCTGAAGAATAAACCGAAGCCGGCGGTTCCGGCCAAACCGAAAGGACTTCTTATCGATCATCTCAATCGGTTGGTTCATGAGTAAATTTGTTTTTTAGTTGAGAAAATCTATGAAAAACAAGCTTTCTTCAAATTTTTGTTTCTAGATTGCACAGTAGAAAAATAGCAAAAAAAAAATGAGTCAGAGGAATCGAACATATGACCTTTTAGATGATAGTCAAGACGCTTAGCCACTACACCAACACAGCAAAATCAAAAAAAAAGCCTATTTTTGCAAATTTTTCGATCACTGTACACTTTTCCCGCTAGGAGCTTCCAAAAAACAGCAAGGTGGTGATAAAACCATGACTAATGTTTGATAAGACGCCGAGAAAAAAAAGGGCTGTCAAGTGCACGATTTTACGATTTTCCTTGTTTCTTCTCTCTTTCCAACCAAGCCGTTACTACTTCTCAAACTGATGGGAAAGAAAAAGAAGAAGCTGGCTTATAAATGCCGCGTGAAACGTAATAACAACGCCTCGAAGGGGGGCTGGTTCAGCCACTTTTGCCCTTTCTTTCCGCATTCCAACAACGCAGTTCACTTTTCTCCCTCCTTTTCGTGTACCTTTTGGCCTTGAAACAGTTGGAAAACGAGAAAAATGAGCTTTATTCCGGTTTTTGTGACTTGGCCTAGTGGATAACCTTATTGGCTGTCACTCGAGAGGTCAGTGGTTCGATTCCTGGACAGCTCAATTTTTTTTTGCTTTTTTTTCAAACCTTTTTGGCCTTGAAACAGTTGCAAATAGGTTTGAATAAAACGGGGAAAATGAGCTTTACCTCGATTTTTGTGACTTGGCCTCTTGGCTATCACTCAAGGGGTCACTGGTTCGATTCCTCTCCGCGAAATTATTTTTTTTGCTATTTTTTCATCTGCTTCCTGGATGTTCCTAGAGCTCTTATGATCATATTTGATGACTTTTTGTCTTCAAGCTCAACCTCGATGACGTCGCTCTCCTCACCGGTAGTTCACACGTCATCGGCCTTCCTGAACACGTTCGTCGCGACGCCGTCGTTGATCAACCTACAGCAAGGCTACCGTAACCCAGAACTTGGTAGTCAAGAACTTGCCCGGCTTGAATCTTCTCGTCATGAGGTATGACTTGAAAAAATTTTAAAAAATAACAATTTTCTCAGTCGATCAAAAAAGTGTCGAGAAACCTGACGACCTACGAGGAGGAGAAGGGCTTCATCGAAAGTGAGCTGGAGGAGGTACTTGAACTTTTTCCAACTCAAATATCGATTTTTTGAAGATTGAACGAACCGGAGCACGATTGCTGTCGATTGTTGAGCGACATGACAAGAATTTGGCTGGAAAGGTGAGCTTTTGGTAGTGATCACTGTAGGGATCTAGATTTGAAGTGACCATTTGAGGGATTTTTTGCCCGAAAATTTCAGTTAAGCAGACCAAAATCTTTAAATTTGAAAGTTAAGCAGACCAAAAATCTTTTGAGCTATCCAAATTGAGGAATTTTTTTTCACGCATTCCTCAGCGTTATAGAGTTCATTGATATTTTTTTGAGAATTTGGCTGGAAAGGTGAACTTTTGGAAGTGATCACTGTAGGGATGGAGGCTCTGTAAGTGACCATTTGAGGGTTTTTTTGCCCGAAAATTTCAGTTAAGCAGACCAAAAATCCTGAAATTTGAAAATTAAGCAGACCAAAATCTTTAAATTTGAAAGTTAAGCAGACCAAAAATCTTTTGAGCTATCCAAATCGAGGAATTTTTTTTTATATGCAATCCTCAGTGGTAGAGAGTTCATTGATATTTTTTTGAATTCCAAAACCTCGAAAATGCGACCACTTTTTAGATCCGGCGACATCTTGAAAACAGCCGCGAGCTACGGCAAGTGGAAACGAAGCTCCGCCTACAACTCGCCAAAATAGACGAAGCCACGCGTGATGACGTCATCGACAAGGTATGACGTCATTCTTTCAAAAATTGAAATTTCATTCAATTTTAATATCTGAGTTAAGTTTTTAAAACACGAAAAAGGGGCGTGTCCAGACAATCGTAGAACTTATAACCTTTTGTTAATTTTTACTAGCTTTTTTTTAAATGTTTATGAAACCTGAAATTTTTTTTTTGAATGAATTTTTGCCATATAACTTTCGTGAATCCGCGATGTCGTTTTAGAGAAGTTTTTTGCTTTTTTCTATTTTTTTTTTCAGTCTGTCGCAGCGTATGAAGAGTCACGACTACGGCGTCGATTCCAAGAAACTGAGTTTTTGAGGAATATTTATGCTCGTCGGGAGAAAGACCACGAGAGGGAATTGGTTGGTTTTTTTTTTTGAAATGAGAAAATTAGAAAAGGAACGATAATACATGGAAATAGAGCCTTTTCAACTTAAATTGAAACAGAAATACTCGGAAAGTCGATAAAATTTGCTTTGGTGTAAAAAAAAACATTGGTTGCATTTGGAATGGCTCGTCAAACAAATTTTTTTTCATAGGATTTTTCTCAACTTCAATGTTCTTACTGATTAGTGCTGGCTGATGCCATTAAGCGCGAACCGTTTCATGGTCGGGTGCAAACTGATTTTCGCAGCATAAGCCATTTCGAAAAGAAACTATGAATAAACTATTTTGATTTTAACTAAAAGTTCTCTTCGAGTTAAAGAAACAAGCGAGTTTATCATGTGCTCAAGGCTTCAAAAACCCATGGTCGCACTTGGAATGGCTCGAACGCGTCGCGGTTCGCGTTGCGGTTTCTTTTCTGGGTTTTGAGACGTTAAGATTTCCAAGTGCGATGTCCCTATATGGGCAACTTTATGGGCCCTTGAAGGGTCCCCACTAGGGACCATTTTACCAACCCCTATAGGGGCCACTAAATTCTGCAAAAGCGCTCCTTATAGGGGTTTTTGTTAGTGGCCCCTATAGGGTCGATCATTACTAAGAACTCAATAAAAAGAAGCATTTCGCGAAAAATTCAAATTATTTCTAGTCCGGCTTGTTCAACGGCGAAGAACTCCAACGTTGGCGACGATACAAAGACGCCGTCGCCCAGCTACAGTACGACGATAACACCGTAGACTACCGTATCCGAGAATCCATCATGAAGCTCGACGCGCTGAATTTGGCGCCGAGAAATGTTTAATTTCTAGTTTTTTTCAAGAATATTTTGGACCGTTTCGAGCTTTTGTGATCGAAATAGTCCAAAAACTTCATTTTTTTCATTTTTACCACCCCAATTTGCACTCACGGGTTTCGTTATGGCGTTTATTCCTTTTGTTTTTCGATTTTAACCTCTAACAAATGACGTCATTAGTAGGGTTAGATGACGTCATAAAATATAGCTTGCATGAATTTTCATCGATGTGAAGACGTTTTGAAGGATTTTCGATGACGTCATTTTCAAACCCTGATGACGTCATAAAATGTACATATCCTCTTTGGACCTCTTCTAACCTTCACCACGTGGCTCAACTTCTATTCTCTTTTTTTTTTGTTTTTCTTTCTCGAATAAAATTCTTTTCACTCTGATAAGAAAAATCTTTATTCGCGGCATGACAAATGAGGGCAGTTGAACTTGCAAAAATAATGCTATTTTTAAACCGTCAAGGTCAAGAAAAAAAAAAATAATGAACTGAAAATTATCAGAAATTGAGCAATCTTTCTTTTAAGTTTTTTTGTGTCCCAATCGGATTTTTAAAGGCAACAGAGCACCGAAAAAATTATTAGAAATGTTGGATATATACAAAGAATAAAAAATTGGCAAATTAGGAAATTAAAGCTTCAAAAGGTTAGAATAACGAGAAAAAACGTTGAAATCGGAGCAGAAAGGGGCGAAAAATGATTGTTGCAGTATATTGCTCATGTTACGAAAGAATTGCTCATCTTATAGAAATTTTGTTCTCTGTGCGTCCGTCCGTGACGTCATGCACTTGTTGCTCATTTTAGAAAAAATACCACCCCAGTAAAATTTATTCTTCTCACCAATGACGTCATAATTTATTGCTCATGTTACTCCGAAATTCTCGTATTTTGCTCCAATTTCAACGCTTAAAAAACCGAAAAAAAATAAATTTTCAAACTCAGATGGCCATCTTCTCAAGGATCGGGATAATTTGGTCAAAGTTGGGCCGACGGCCCGAGTCCTCGTTCATGCAGATGTTGATGAGTCGGTACATGTTGCGGGCGATTCCGGGCGGAATCGTCACTCGCAGGCCTTCCAGGGCAACCTGAAAGATAGTTATTTCTTTTTGGGGAATTTTTTCGAGTTTTATGTTTCCACGGCTCAAAAAGGCGGGCTTTTGCGCTCCACTGATAAAATGAAGAAAAACGGCTCTATAAAGCTTTAAAGCAGGTAGAAAACATTAATGACGTCATAAATTGAGTCGATGACGTCATTTATTATTTTGAAAGGTGTTAACCGCATTTGGAATGGCTTAAAATTGAAGATATTGAGCCAGACTACTTGGATCTGCTGACCGCAACGCGTGAGTTGAATGACGTCATAGAGTGGAACGATGACGTCATTTATCATTTTTAAAGGTGTTAACCGCATTTGGAATGGCTTAAAATTCAAGATATTGAGTCTGACCGCAGCGCGACCGCGACGCATGATCCTTTCCAAATGCGACAAAAAGAATATGAACAAACCTTCATTCCGCACTCCATGGGCGGCAAATCGGCGAACGGAACCTCGCGCGTGTTCAATTCCCAGAGCAGAACGCCGAAAGACCACATGTCGGCCGCCCGGATATTCAGATCTTCCGGGGCTCGGTTTAGGGCTGAAATTATCATCTTTTAGCAAGAATGGCTCTTCAAGATCCAACCTTCAGGGCTCATCCAAGCCGGCGAGTAGATCCTGCCGACCTCCTGGAAGCTGAACTTGGTGTCGGCCATCGAGATCTTGGCCGTCAGCTCCTCGTCGACGACGATGTGCTTCGAGGAGAGATAGTAGCGCAGGACGAGAGGGTCCAGACTGTGCAGGTACGACATTCCCCGAGCAATGTCCAACGCGAATCGGACCGCCTGGCTGTGGTCGATCACCACCGCTGCAAAAAAAAAAAATAGAATGAGATGGGATTGAACTCGAGACTTGTTTGGTGATAGTTGAGGTGTTTAGCCGCTAGGCCATCTTCGAATCGAAATGTGGACTTGAAAAGATATGAAATCATCACAAAAACTGAGCTTCAGAATTTTTTTTGCGAAAATGCTCCCAGGTTTCGAACCCGCGACCTTTTGAGTGATATTTTGAAGCTTTAGCCATTGAGCCAATCTTTTCAAATAGGACTTCAAACATTTATGAACTCTAACGTGTTCTCCACTAGAAATCCGAGCTACAAGTTTTTTTTTCCTGCAAAATCTTGCGACCGGGATTTGAACCTGTGACCTTTTGAGTGGTGTTCTGAACGTTAAGCCATTGAGCCACTGCTTTATTGAAATTTGAACTTCAAAATTAAGATTTCTGAGTAATCAGGACTACAGAAAACATAACAGTAAGCTTCAATTTTTATTTTTCCTGCAAAATCTTGCGACCGGGATTTGAACCTGTGACCTTTTGATCGATGTTCTGAATGTTTAGCCATTGAGCCACCGCTTTATCGAAATTTGAACTTCAAAATTAAGATTTCTGAGTAATCAGGACTACAGGAAATATACCAGTAAGCTAAAAGTTTTTTTTCCTGCAGAATTTTGCGACCGGGGTTCGAACCCTTGACCTTTTGAGTGTTGTTCTGAACTTTTAGCCATTGAGCTACTCTTTTTTAAAATTTAAACTTCATAATTAAGTTCTCTGAGTAATCAGGACTATAGAAAATATAACAGTAAGCTTCAAGTTTAATTTTTCCTGCAAAATTCTGTGGCAAGGAAATTAACCCTTGACCTTTTGAGTGATGCTCTAAACGTTTAGGCATTAGGCCACTTTTTTTTTTAAATTTGTTCTCTAAAAATGATTTCTGAGTATCCGCTACTGCTGAATATCGGAACTTCAAGTTCCATTTCTGCAAAATTTTGCGACCGGGATTTGAACCCTTGACCTTTTGAGCGATAAGCAACTGTCTCACCGACTGAGCCATGTTGTCGAGAACCCATGTGGGTTGGAAATGCAATCAGATAGAGTTTTGTGAAATATGCTACATACCTTTTGAGCGAAATTTTCTCTTCAAATGACCAATTTGAAAGCTTTTTCGATTTCCACTGTCCTTTAAAAAAATCCATTTCGAAACTCACAGCTCTGCTCATGAAGAACGTTGTAGAGACTTCCAAAGGGCATGAATTGAGAAATGATGACCAAATTTGGGGGTTGATTGGCGGCGGCCAACACCGGGCAGATGTTTGGATGGGCGAATATCCTGAAAAGTGAAGTTTTGGATGTAGTTTGATCAGAGGCTCACCTCAAAGCGGGGAACTCGGTCTGGAAGTCTCGCGAAATTCTCGGAGTGACCTCGGGAACGGAGAGAATTCTGGCGACGATGTCGTTGCCTTGCCATTTTCCGCGCCACAGCTCTCCGGAATGCGACTCGGCGATCTGTTGAAAAAATTTGTTTAAGTGGCTACTTGGAGATTTTGGAATGGTTAAAGTAAGTCTCTTCAGCGATTTACTTGTGGTGGTCCCACTTTTCTAGTTTTTTTTTAAAATTTTTTTGTTTAAATTTGGGGGCTCCAGAGTGGTCTCTATAGGGGTTAGGAGGGTAGGCCGAAAAAGTGGTCCCTATAGGGGTTCAAAGTCTGACCCCTTAGCCCCTAAAGCTCAAGTGGACCCTATAGGGTCTCTCGAATTCATTCGAAAAACGCTTTTTTATTCAGTTTTTTCCATGGAAATGCTTCTTCGCTTAGAGTTCATAAAAATTATCGAATATAGTCTGTTCAGATTTAAAAGTCGCTTCTAAAGCTCCGCCCCTAATGACCCGATAAGCCAATCAGAGGGCGAGCCATCCACAGAGCGTTTTCGAATGACGTCATTGTACTTGACATTCAAAATATGAACAAACTATACAATTTTCCCTGAAGGGGCCACTGTTGCAAGCTTCAGTGACCCCTACAGGGCTTAGAAAAGTGGCCCCTAGAGGTAAAGTGGTCTAAGGAGTCCTGGAATGACCACTTAAGAAGTTTAGAATTTCACTGAGCGTTCCTTGGGCTGGATTTGGGCTTTCCAAGGGTCTACTTAAGGGATAAAACAAAGGAGGTCTGAAATGACCACTTAAGAGGTTTAGAATTTCACTAAGCGCCTCTTTTTTTTTGCTTTATGGGTGGATCAAGTCAGAAATTTTTTCAGCACTTTTTGACACTTCACAAAGTGACTCCAAGCCTTCCAATCCGCCGGAAAAAATTTTTTTAACTCAAGAAAAAACCTTAGAAATGAGGTTGAGAGATGAGACATCAACGCCCGTGTAGCGGGAGAGCGTGGCGTCCCTCGTCCGAGATTTGGTCCCCTTCCAAGTTTGATCCTTGAATGGGACCCGCTGGTCCGCCTGTTGGCCGTTTTCCGCGGCGATTTCTGGAATTTTCCGGGTGTTTCATGACTTTACTGTTATATGCGCTTTATAAAAAAAAGATTGTATGATTTTATAGTAATAGTTTATAGCAAAACAGCTCACAACCGACTCGACCTTTGAACTATTAAAAAAAAGAAATAAATATAGTCTGTTCAGATTTTTAATGTCAAGTGCAATGACGTCATTCAAAAACGCTCTGTGGATGGCTCGCTCTCTGATTGGTTTACCGCACCAATAGGGGCGGAGCTTGAGCGGCGACTTGACATTCAAAATCTGAACAGACTATATAGTCTGTTCGTCTGCGTCTCTCTGTTCCCTCACCGGCGAGGTCAGAGAAACATGGAAACAGCGGGTAAACATGAGAGAGTCGCCGAGAGATAAGGAGGGCGAAGAGAAGCCTTTCATGTCACGGAAAACGAAAAATACCTATGATAGTATCCCTGCATTGTGGCTGGCAAACGTCCAAAGGAGTTTGGCCTCGTTTGTTGCAGGCGCTGATCAGGGCGCCGTATTGGATTAGGTCCTGAAGAACTCTACATTTAGAAAAATTCGAACATTCTATATGACTTTTTTTATTTTTTATGGATGGGGTTGGAAATTCTGGATCTTTTGGTACCCTTTTCAGCTTTGTAAGTTAGAAAATGGTCGAGAAAGGGATTTTTTAAGTTTGTGAAAAGAAAATGACTGAAAAAAACTTGCTGATCGTTTTCAAGTAGATGAAACTCAAAAATATGAATTTTTGATCGCATTTTAACTTGATTTTCTGGTTCAGTTTGTAATTCTGGATCGATTGGTACCTAATAAAAAGGCTTCAAGTTGAAAAAAATGCCTGATAATTGAATTTTTTTAAAGGTTTTTTTGCTTCAAAAAAATAACTAAAGAATTGATGTCCACCTTGAAAATAGCCCTTCAAACTTTATTTAACGCACAAAAAAACCTCAACAGGACTTGAACCCAGGTAATAAATATACTAAACAAGACGCCAACCGACTGAACCAACCTCGGCGATTTGCTCGTATCCCCAGAAGCAAGCATAATGCAGCGGCGTCATTCCGTGTTCGTTGGTCGCGTGAACGTCGGCTTTTCTTGCTAGGAGTTTCTGGAAAAATCCATTACACATATAATTATATCTCACATCTATCTATAATTTAAAAATTCAAAAAAAGCTAACCACGACAATTGGCCGGTGTCCATTTGCTGCTGCCAAGTGTAAGCTTGTATCGTCACCCATGTTGGTTGCCGTGACACGAGCACCTCTGAAAAGACGTCAAAATTTGAAAGGAAAAACAAAAAAACAAAATAAATGATACTGTATCCAAATTTCAGTCCGCAAAAGGTCGTGACCGTCAGTGCATGCACACATTTCAAAAATTTTTGCAAAAATTCTCTTTTTTCAGTTTTCCTTTTTTTCTTCGTTCTTTTATCCGTTTTTTAACATTTTCTTGCCGTGAAATAAATGAATTTGAGAGAATTTATCGCGTTGTACAGGCTTGTTCATCAAAGAATTGTAAATTTGATTGAATGTTTCGAAAATTTCTTGCGTAACAGGATTTTCCAACATTGTTCAGCGTCTTATTTTGAGCTGTTTTCAGTCCTTAGTTTTTTTCCGGGAATCGTCGAGATATTTTTCCATAGAGAGTTGGATTTTGAACTGAGTTTCACTGAAGCATTACAAGAAAGTTCAAAAATAAAAAGATCGATTTTTAAAAATTTTTTTTTGCGTTTTTTTTCTTTAAAGTGTGAATAGAATTGCATTGATGAAACTTCAAAACATTCTTCTTTTTTTTTCTTCTTATATGACTTTTCAGATTTCGGAATTGGATTTGAATTCTTCATCTGTACACTTCGATCACGATTTCAAAGTTCTTTTTACGGTTTCAGGTACTTTTTCATGATTTTCTTTAAGGAGCAGGATTTTTTCAGTTATTAGAAAGGGTCAAATCAGAAATTGAATGAAAATAAAGTGAACCTTGAAAGGAGCATTTCGGCGATACTGACATGCCCTTCTTTGGAAGCCCAGTGGAGGAGGGAAAATGCGTGGTCGTCTCTGGAAATTTTTAAATTAAATTATTAAACTTAGGATATTGAAGTCACTATTTTTAGGACAGAACACTGAAAAGGCAGGTTGCTCGAAAGTTCGAAAATTTTTTTAGAACTTTTCCTGGTTTTTGAAATGTTCAAATAGGGGCGTTTCTGAAAAATTCTCTGGAATTTCATCAGATTTTTTCAAAAAGAGATGAACTGTATTGTAAGCGCTTGAAAGTGTTTAACAAAGTTGATCAGTATATTCGAGATTTTTAAAATTTTTGCAGTTTCACTCTGTAATCTTGTTCGTAGTTCCATTTTTTCTTCCGAAAAAATCAAATTTTGAGGTTCAGAATCAGTTTATGGATATTCAGGACCTTTGAATATATATAATCGCTATTTTTGAAACTTCTCGGACATTGGTAACGCGAAACGGACGTGCTCCGGACGTTTCTGGGCGATTCAAGGGATCACTTAAGAGCGTTAAGGCTACTAAAGTGGTCACTAGAAATGCCCCGACACGTCCGTTTCGCGTCCCGTTCACATTACCAAGGTCCGAGTTCTAACTGTAGTTTGGTGGAGCAAACCTTGTCAGAAAATTGAAAAAGGCGATTATTTTCGAGAAAATAGTTTCGTAGCGTTTTGAGAAGCATCTACAGATACCTATAAGTTAGTGAAAAATTTAAAAAAAATTTGAATTTATATCTAACAAGGGGTCATTATACTTTATATTAAAATTCCATGAAACTTGGTCAGAATAATCTTTTATGTACCATATGAAGGTACTGAAAATCCTGACTTGCTAATATTCCTGTCAGGAATATTTATCAAGTTATCAGGAATTTCCTGATAATAGAAAAAAATTTTAAAAAAATTGAACAAAATTATTCTGCACCTTTCGAAAAAAACTTTGATCAAGATTCGTCGATTTTTTTGTTGAGATATTGATTTTTCAAAGAATTCTACTCTATTCCTTTTGGGTTACCGTATCTCGAAAACGACTCGAGTAAGGATATTCAGTTTTTTTTTCAAAAGATCCTAAAATTCGTGTTCTAAAACATATTTGATTCAGAGAAAGTTTTACCATAACGCTCATTTTTTTTTTTGGCGCAGAACAAGGTTGCGCATGAGCATCAAAATCCACTAAAAGAGAGAATTTTCAGATTTTTAAGCCTCCTTCCTCGAAAACTAGGAAGTTTTGCAGATTTACACTTTCAAGATATATATCTAGTACATCAAGGAACAATCTGACCAACTTTCCGTTTATTTCAGACCTGACTTTTTTTTAAAAACCAACTCACCCAACGTTCAAGTCGTGTTCGTGATCGTCGAGCCAGACGCGGACCTGTCAATATCACATTTTACTTTTTCAAGAACCATATTTATTTTTGTATTTTTGAGGCGGTTTCTGTTAGTTTTTCTGGTTTTCAGTATTCCGATTATTGAGTTGAATTTTTTGCAGGCCATTTTTTCCCTGTAAATTGGTGGATAAGTTTTATTTCTAGACATACAGTACCGCTCAAAAGTCTATTAAGTTTTGGTTTTTTGAGGATATCTCAGCGAGTACTTATCCGATTTATATATAACTTTCAGGGATTATGTAAAATATACTTTGAAACATATACGGTAAACAAATACATGTCCGCAATCACTGTGACGCGTTTTAGGAATTTTTTTGAATTCAATTTTTTTGTTTTTTTATGCTTTTTATTTTTTTATTTATTTTTTTATTAAATTTTTTTAAAAAGTAATAATGTTGCCATATGTTTTTTTCATGTTTTCAGACATGGGAAGAACCTCTGGAAAAAAGGATTTGACTGATAACAGCAAAAGAGCCATCGTTGTGGGTCGTCAAATTGGACTGAACATGATGACGTTGGCAGGAATGTTCGGCGTGACAGAGGCGGGCATTTCTCAGTTCCTAAAGCGTTGAAAAGCTCAAGATGGCTTTACTAAGAGCCAACGCACTGGAAGACCACGTGTCACTGATCGTAATGACGATAGAAACATTTTGAAGACGTCTAGAACCGATCCAAGACTCACCGTCCTTGCGATCAGACGGGAAGTTTGCTTGAATTCGCCATCTCCGCCATCCTTCTCGACCGTGAAACGACGTCTGAATGCTGCTGGAATCATGGGAAGACGTTCAGTGAAGAAACCGCTGATTTCTGAAAAGAATCGAGCCGCCAGGGTGAAGTGGGCGAAGGAGCATCTCAACTGGACCCGTCAAGGCTGGAACAAGATTCTGTGGTCCGACGAAAACAAGTTCCTCCTCTTCGGGAGTGACGGAATTCAGTGGGTTCGTAGACCAATTGGGTCCAGATATCATCCGAAATACCAATTACTTACTGTAAAACATGGTGGAAGACCGTTTCGTCGGACCACAGAATCTTGTTCCAGTCTTGACGGGTCCAGTTGAGATGCTCTTTCGCCCACGTCACCCTGCCGGCTCGATTCTTTTCAGAAATCAGCGGTTTTTTCACTGGACGTCTTCCCATGACTCCAGCAACATTCAGACGTCGTTTCACGGACCAGACGGATGGCGGAGATGGCGAATTCAAGAAAACTTCCCGTCTGATCGCAGGGGCGGTGAGTCTTGGATTGGTTCTAGACGTCTTCAAAATGTTTCTATCGTCATTACGATCAGTGACACGTGGTCTGCCAGTGTTTTGGCTCTTAGTAGAGCCATCTTGAGCTTTCTGACGCTTTAGGAACTGAGAAATGCACGCCTCTGTCACGCCGAACATTCCTGCCAACGTCATCATGGTCAGTCCATTTTGACGACCCACAACGATGGCTCTTTTGTCGTTATCAGTCGAATCCTTTTTTCCAGAGATTCTTCCCATGTCTGAAAACATGAAAAAATCATATGGCAACATTATTACTCTTAAAAAGTTTAATAAAAATAAATAAAAATAAAAGCATAAAAAACAAAAAAAATTGAATTCAATAAAAAATTCTTAAAACGCGTCTCAGTGATTGCGGACATGTCTTTGTATGCCGTATATGTTTCAAAGTATTTTTTACATTATCCCTGAAAGTTATATATAAATCGGATAAGTACTCGCTGAGATATTCTCAAAAAACCAAAACTTAATATACTTTTGAGCGGTACTGTAAAGCCTGTAGAAATACTCGAGGTTAACCTAAAAATTCGAAATTTTTGGTGCTAGAAAGATAATGATGTTTTTGGGGAATGGGAAAATCAAACTTCTTAGCGATTACAGAGTGGTCCCTATAGAGGTTAGGAGAACAAACAGCCCCTGAAAATGCCGAAAAAGCTATAGGGGTTCAAGGTCTGACCCCTTAGCACCTAAATCTTAAGTGGTCCCTATAGGGGTCTCTCAACTTCATTCAAAAAACGTAATGCTTCTTCGCCCAAAGTTTATACTTTTGCAAACTTCAGTGGCCCCTATAGGGGTTGATAAAGTGCTAACTTAGGGACCGTTCTGGTGTTCCTAATTTTCAGCCTACATAGTGAGGCCGTTCTTAAGGCTCTTTTTTTCCGCCAAGCCATTCCAAATGCGGCCAAGTTTTTTCAAGTAATGATATTTGAAACTACCTGAAATGCGTTTCCCTCGCGCACCCAGCCAAAAACGTCCTCCATAATAATGGGCACATTGGGCTTGTGCGCGTGGTAGTGCGACGACAGCGACATCTCGTCGGCTCTTTTTTTTCCGGTTTTTTCCCCTTTTTGCGGTCTTCTTGGCTGGAAAAAGATACATTTGAAATGAAAAATGGAGGATAAAACAAAAAAGAAACGACAATTCAGAAAAAAGTAACTGAAAACTTGGCTTGAAAAAAAATATAATTTAATGGGTTTTTGTAAGAAAATTTTGAAGGAACAGAGGAATTTTAAGAAAGGGTCCTGGAAAAAAATAAGAGTATGTTAAAAAGAGATAGTTTAGAGTATTTGGTGCATTTTTGGTATGAAACTACCGGTGGATTGAGTTTATACACTTAGGAATTGTGGAGTGATCCCTATAGGGGTTAGAGGAGAAACAGACCCTATAGGGGCCGAAAAAGTGGTCTTTATAAAACCAAGGTGGTCCCTATAGGTGTTTAGCGTCTGACCCCTTAGCCCCTAAAGCTTGAGTGGTCTCTATAGGGGTCTTTCAAGTTTATTCAAAAAATGTTATTTTTTAGTTTTTCTCGTAGAAATGCTTCTTCTCATAGATTTCATAAAACTTATCGATTAGCATGTCCCCTAGAAAGGCCACTCTGGCAAGCTTTAGTTGACCCTACAGTGGGTTGGTAAATTGGTCCCTAGAGGGAACACTTCAAGGGCCCCTCAAGTTGCATCTAAAAGGACCACTCTGGGGATCCTAATTATGTTTTTCATGATAACCCAATTTTAAAAACTTTATTTATGACGTCATAATTTGGCCTGATAAGTGAGATAGTGTTATTGGATTGGAGAGACAGAGAAAAATATACCGGATTCGGAGAATGCAAAAAAAAAAAAAACATCAAAAAGGTAAAAGCCTTATGAAGGTCAGTGAATTAAGTCATACTTAGGCTCAACGAGCGAGAGAGTCTGGCTCGATGGGAGACGCAGAGAAAATTCAGTCAAGTAGATGGAAAGTGTATGGAAAATATATTGATTTTTGTCGGAAGGGCTGAATTGATGATGTCATAAGTAAGTCCGGCTAATGTGGAAGAGCAGCTAGATTGGAGGAATAGAGAAAAAATTTTATTCCAAACGCGATGCAGAGAAATCAGTTATTATGCAAAATCCGTAAGGAAAAGATCCCTTTTCAAGTGGAACGACTAAAATTATGACGTCATGAAGGAGTCTGAGAAGTTAGACAGTGGGTTGAAGGAGAGGAGCAGAGAAAAAAATAGAATTATTAAGAATAAAAGTGGGGAAATAAATCGATAAATGAAGGTTTAAGATTGGGTAAAAGTTGTATAGAATATAACTTGTGATGTCATTAATTAGCGCGGTGAGTAAGAGAGCGCGGTTAGATAAGAGAATTAGAGAAAAAGAATATTTATAAATTTTTTTTGACCAAAAGCAACATCGTCAATCAATAAATAGGAGCAGAAGCAGAGGTATACAATAGGAATGAACTTGTGACGTCATAAGTTAGCTTGACGGGTGAGAGAGTGCGGTCAGATAGGAGAATCAGAGAAAAAATTCACTATTAGGCGTTTTTGTCGAGGTGCAACATCATCAATCAATAAAAGGGAGCAGAAGCATAGCTGTGTAAAATAAATGAACTTGTGACGTCATAAGTTAGCTTGACTGGTGAGAGAGTGCGGTTAGATGAGAGAATTAGAGAACAAGTTAATTATAGGCGTTTTCCGACGAAGTGCGACATGATCATTGAATAATTAGGATCAGAAGCAGAGCTGAATGATAGGAATGAACTTTTGACGTCATAAGTTAGCTTGACTGGTGAGAGAGTGTGGTTAGATGAGAGATTTAGACATAGAGTTTTTATAGGCGTTTTCCGACGATGTGCGACATGATCATTGAATAATTAGGATCAGAAGCAGAGCTGTGTAAAAGAAAGGAACTTCTGAAGTCATGAGTGAACTTGACGAGAAAGAGAGTGTGTTTAAAAGAGAGAAACAGAGAAAGAGTTTATTTATAGGCGTTTTTTGTCGAGGTGCAACATCATCATTCAATAAATGAGAGCAGAAACAGAGCTGTATGAAAGGAATGAACTTGTGACGTCATAAGTGAGCTTGACGAGTAAGGGAGTGCGGTTAGATGAGAGAGTTAGAGAACAAGTTAATTATAAGCGTTTTCCGGAGAAGTGCGACATGATCATTGAATAAGTAGGATCAGAAGCAGAGCTGTATGATAGGAATGAACTTTTGACGTCATAAGTCAGGTTGACGAGCGAGAGAGTGCGGCTAATGAGAGAAACAGAGAAAAAGTTTATAGGCGTTTTTGTCGAGGTGCAACATCATCAATCAATAAATAAGAGCAGAAGCTTGGGGCAGGAGCTCTTTGGAGCAAAAGGCGAAGGGAAGATAAAATGTCAGAGGCTCTGTCGTTTTGTGTTGTAATGCACGGACATTATGGCGGGGCATTGGCATTGGGAATGGCTCTTTTTTATTCATTTTGATGTGAATTTTGGGGTTTTCAATGAGACGGAATAGAGAGAAACGGAAGGATGTTTATAGAAATGAAGCCTTTGTCATGCAATTTTTGATCTTTTGGGTTTGAAATAAAGTGAGTCTGGGTGTTGAAAAAATGGTTTTTCAGTTTCTGAATGGGGATTGAGAACAAAAAACTAATTTAATTAATCAAAATTGTAGTTTTTTACGGAATGGTAAGGCGTCATGGATTTTCAATTTTGATTAAACTAAAAGAGGAATTTTTTTTCAAATTGTAGATGTGTTACAAGTTTTAAGAGACAAGCTTTTCAAATATTTTTCGGTCATTAAATGACCTTAGAGAAAAACTTCTCAAAAATTCAGAAGCTCATAAATAACACGTTTTTCAAAAGTTTTACAGGGTGTTCATTTTACTTTGCGGTTGGGAACATTCTGAAAATTGGCCAGAACACTTCTTGATGTACCAAATGAAGATCCTGAACGTCTCAACATGCACAATTTTCCAGTTTTTGAGAAACAAGGGCTCAAAGCCTCAAAATAGCCTCAAGAACTAGGAACTTGTGCAGGTTGAGACTTTCAGAATCTTCTTCTGGTATTGTCAATGTCTCCCGACTTGAGAGGGGAGGGAGGCGGGGCAAAGGGCGGGACGCGTAGCGTGTGCGTACGCGGTTCTTGGCGAGAGTTCAATTAACTTGACGCCGACTACTTGAAAAGCTCGGCAACCGCTCTTTCTCTGTATTTGCTTATAATTTTTGATGCAAAAATTGACGTAATCAATAAATAATTAAAAACGAAGTGAAAAGAGCGATAAATGAGCTCTTTGAATGCTCGCTGGCGGTTGAATTGAACTCGTGCCAAGAACCGCGTACGCACACGCTACGCGTCCCACCCCACGCCCCGCCTCCCTCGCCTTTCAAGTCGGGAAACATTGACTATACATCAAGAAGTTTTCAGGAAATTCCCAACCGCAAAGTAAAATGACCTCGCTTGTTAGGGGGTCCTTTCTTGAAATATTGCAAAAAGCGACAAAAAATTAAATTAAGAGACATCGAAATTTTTAAGTTAAGAAAATTTATCTAATCAAATTTAAAACAATAAAATTAATTAACACCTCTAAGTAGTGGATCAATATGTATCAGAAGCTGAGAAGGAAGGCGAGAGAAGATGAAATTTCAGAGGCTCTCTGTGGGTTTTCGTGTGCGCTGTAATGCAACCAGCATCGTTGGCGGGCGATTCTATTTTTTATTTTCTTTTTTCTTTTAAATGGGAATTGAAGGAGTTTATTTGATATTGTGGGAAAAGGTACAAACAATTAAATAATATTTTCGAACTCGACTTGAAAAAAAAAAGCCTTCAAATAGCTGTAAAAGGCTAAAAAGAGCCATTCATGGGCTTGTGAATAACGAAAAGGCTAAAAAGGAAAATTTGAAGACTGTAGAATCTATGAAAACCCCAAGTGCGCACTTAAGAGATGTTTGAAAGGTGCAGGGGTTATTCAGGAGCGTTTTTTTTTTCAGTAATGGATTCGTTTTCGAGTAAAAAAAACCAAGTGGTCCCTCTAGAGCTGTTGGGAAAAGTCAGTACCCTACAGAGGTCGCTCGGAAACGTCTAACAATATCTTGTCAAAATTAAACTTTCAAGTCGCAAAATGCCGAAAAAAATAGACACCAAAATCAATTCTAGCTTTGAAAAAAAAATAATTGCAAGCACAAAAGTACTCTAATCACCCTTTTGTTAAGTAATTTCTGATGGAAAAAAATTTTTTCCGGTTTTTTTCACCGAAGAAAATAACGAGATAAACAAAAAATCAATAATATATTGGATCGAATACCCACGGAGAGATTAAGAAACATATTGCGGCCGCCTGTGAAGGGCTGGGAAAGACGGTGGAGACACACAAGAAGACAAGAGAGAAACAGATTATTACGGCACAAAGGTCCTCCTCTCTCCTTCTACCCAGCCACCACACCACGTAGAAGATCTCGAAAGAACGGACGGAGAGGGACCTTGAACCTTGAGGGATCACTTGAGAAGGGTTTTGGTAGATTCTTATAACGCTTTCAAAGGTTTTCAAGGATTCAGATTTTTGAAAACGATTAGAAGAGGTATCGGACTGTTTGTGAGCTTATAAGCGAAATATCGTACGCTTTAGAGCCCCATGGGATGGTTTTAAAGATTTTAAGGGCTTCTAAATGATAATCTTATTGTAAGGAAAGGGACCTTGACCACTTGGGCATGCATTCGGAAGCTTCTGGTTGTTCCTTCTCATGTTTTCAAGCATATTCCGTTTTTTAAAAATAATTTGAAGAGCTCATGGACACCTGGCACGGGTTCTAAAAAGAATATTGGTCGTTATAAAGTCTCTGAAGAACTAATTGATGATCCTGAGGCTTGTCGAGGATATGAATATTGGTTGTGGTCACCACACCACGTGGTAAATCTCAAAATAACGGGCGGAGAGGGACCTTGAACCTTTAGTGACCTCTGGTTGGGCCTTTGGTAACTTCCGGCAGTTCTTTCCGATGTTTTCAAGCATATTCAGATTTTTAAGAATAATTAGTTCGGCATCGAACAATTTTTTAGTTTATGAGAAGAACATTAGGTGTTTTTTTGACACCAAACAGTTCATAAGTAACTATTGGAGAATTCTAGGGGCTCGAAAAGTTCTCAGAAAATTCCGTTTGGATTGGTCCTCAATAAAACAGATAGACTTTAAAGAACCGCTTGGGACTTGGAACATATTTAGACGTTTTTCCGAACTTTCCAGACCTTGCGTAGTCTTTTAACAACTATTCAACTGACTTAGAAGCATTAGAATGCTAAGGGAAGCCTAATTCAGGGAGGGGCCACTTTAGAAGCGTTTTCAAGCCTTCTTCGTGTTCTACGTCTTCTAGAGTGAATTGAGAGGGTTTTTCTGGACTTTCTGTGGGAATGTTTGCATGATACGGTAGGTACAAGAGTTTTGGTTTGGTGAAAATTGAGCGATTGTGGGAAAGTTCCCACGAAGTTCTTTTCTTCTACTCAAAAAAAAAGTTAAAATAAACAAGAGATTTAGCATAACTGTGGTAAAATCGAGATAGTTAAGTTGAGACGCTTGGGAACATAAGCCAGGCGAAGAAGAAGAAGCCGAACATTTTCCTGGCGACGACAAGCCAAGAAGCGAGAGTACGAGTTGTGCAAACAAGGCTGGTTGAGGCCGACTCCGAGGCTCCCACACAAACAACATACTATAAATGGAGGAGGCTGGCCAGTTGGACTTTTAAGGAGTTTGTTTAGATTTTTTGAGTATGGGAGTGATATTCTTATAGTGGAAATGAAGGAAAGGAGAAAAAAGTGTGAAAAATATTTTATTTATTTATTGGGCCCCTAAGGGAATGACTTCTTCAGAATTGATGAAGAGTTATTATTAAGAAATATAATAAATTTAAGAAAAAATGAAAAGTTGACTTTTAAAAAAATGAAAATTAACTTCTGAAGCTTTTTAATTTTGCCTTTAAAGGAAAAGGTTTTTGATATTTAGAAAAATTCAGAAATTACGAGGAGACAGAGGAAATAAAAAAGCTTACAAGCTTGAAAAATTCTGGATTTTTATAAAAATGAATATACGAACATACAACCCAAAATTGGACTCTTTTAAAATGCGGACGGATGAAAACGTAGGGCAAAAGCATGAGGGAAAAGCATGCAATCAGAGGCCCGGATTTTGTCCCAAGGGACCAACTAAACCGATTTGAAACATTTCGTGTTTGAGAGACACAAGGAAATTGGATTGGACATTTTTTGGGTGTTTTATAGCTTCTAATCTTTTGAAAACTGAGAAAAATTCGATTTTTAGCGATTTTCTCATGGGATATGGCTTGGAATTGATGAAGAAATGCAGTTTTATCATTGTGAAAAATGAATTTATCAAAAATTATGAGAATATTTTAGAAAAGACAAGTTCAATTTGAGCTTCTGGCAAAAGCTTTCGAGGGACAATGAAAACAGCCGAAATTGGCGTTTTCTGCGCGGCTATTCTAGTATGAATAGATCCGCGCTTCCGCTGAATTGCGTGGTCTCGAAAATGCGAACATTTCATTTGCATTGTTAGCTTGGAAGCTAAGATTAAGGAGAAAACGATGAAAATTTGAGCAGCATTGCAAAAAATATCAGGAAAAATGAGTCACAGCAAGAAAACTTTTAATTTACTTTTGAAACTTTTGAAAGATCTTAAATTTACTGTGGAAAATTGAGACAATGGCCTGGAAAATTTGCTTTAGAAGGCTTCAAAGCATATAAATTGTTTTACAGAGTAAATTAAGAATTTTCAGGGAAGTCGATTAAATTTTTGAGAAAATAGAAACTTACCATAATAATAAAAATGAAGCAATTTTGAGCATGCATTTCATTTTAACACATTTCAAAACATGGAAAAACCAATATTCAATAAAATTAACAAGAAATATTTTAATAAACGGGAAAAAAATTTACGGAATTGCTAAATTTTAAAGAAATTTCTAGCTTGATTTTATGATTTTCATAAGAAAACAATGTTTTTGTTCTTCTACAAAATCGTATCAGGACAACATCAAACATGATGTTTAACGATGAATCATTAAAACCGGCGGAGCGTGTGAAAAAGTGATTGGTATGAGGGTAATAAAGTATACGCGCAAAGTCTGCAAACACCACGCGTCACACACCTTCCGCAATACTGCATACTACCGAGTTCGCTTTATTTTTTTTTTCTTTTTGCAAGGGTTTTTGTGGACTTTTCTTGTATTTCTGTTTATGTTTGTATGAAGAAGGATGTGGGGAGCTTGTAAGGGTCACTTTTTGGTATGAAATTCAGGAAAATGGCAATATCTGGACCGAAAATTAATAAATTCAGGATTTTTAAAAATATGAACAATTTTGTTTGAAGGAGATAAGGAAGGTGCTCGTTAGAAATTTGGCCTAAATTTAATAAAAATTTTTTTGAGTATCATAGAAACTTTATGAACCCAAACGTACATTATTATTTTCCGACTCGAAAAGCTGACCTACTTATCTTTTTTTTTCGAATGATGAAGAAAATACTTTCAGACGGATACATTTAAACGGGGTATTGGAAAATGAGCCGGTGGAACCGACGAAATCAGGTCGGCGATCGGGATTCTGGCAAGAATGATGTGAGTTTTGTTCTTTATATTGTGAAATTCCTGCTTTTGTTAATAGAAAAGTAATGATAAATAAGAAATTCTAAATTTTTCAAGTTAGGTAGACAATGGAAACTTTAAAATTAGGTACAGAATATTGGTAGGATACTAAAGAAGCCTGTCACCAAAATTTTTTGTTGAAACTTTTTTTACTTTCCTGTACTTATCAGTACTTTTTGGCGCTTAGAAGCTAATTTTTTTTTTCATTTTTGAGTTTTTTAACTGGAGTTTTAGAATAGACATAGGCGATGTTTCGTTCTGTTCAGCTTCAATTTTAGATTAAAAAGGAAACACGGGAACTTGTGTGTTTTTGTAACGGCTCAAACAATAGAATCTTGAAATTTAGATATTCTTTATATTTGATTTTTCAAGCCAAAAAAATCGTGAAGAAAGTACGGTATTTTTTTCTGTCGCTATAAAGACGGAATTTCGAACTTCTACAATTTTTTTAAAAAGTTGAATACTTGAAATTTGATTGAAAAAAAGCACGGTAAGTTATGTTCTTGTAATGGGTTTTACATTGGAAGCTTAAATTCTGCCATTTTTTTATTTTTTTATTTTACATCAATAGCGGAAAAAAAATAGCTGAATGGATGTGTAGTTTTTTTCGATGGTAGGACAAAATTTCAAAAATACATGGCCCTGAAAATTTTGTCCCCATAAGGAGCCACCAAAATTAGGAGCCTTTAAAATTTTTGTTTAAAATTGATTAAATTCGACTTTTTGAACTTCTTTCTTTGCTTTTTTCCTTTTTTTCATAAAATTGATTCATTCCGAAGCTAGCGCCACTGTTTTCAGTAGGCTTTTAGATCATCAAAAAAAAGATCAAATTTTTCGTTCTCCCATCTTTTCCCCCTTTATCAAGTTTTCATTTGGTTTCCTAGATAATTTATTAAAAGAGCACAAAAATATGCAAGTTTTTTGAATGTATTGAACAGCAAAATTCTGAAATTTCTGTCATTCTCAATAAAAAATCGCATAAATCATTAAAGGAGCACGAGAATCTGCTGGTGTTCGGGTACGCGTCGCGGCTGTTCGCCAACGACGAGAACGCGGAGCGGATCGCCGAGGAACGACACATGCAATCCTGGAACAACGACGGATCCGTCCGCGTCGACAGGTGTGTGTTCGTCGCGGCGGAAAGAGAGAAACGAAAGAAAAAAAACGATGCTTTTTTCTTTTACTTGGATGACTGGCCGAGCATCTGCTGGATGAGGGGGAAATTTCGTGTTCGATGGGGGGCTTTCCGGAGCGATTTTATGGGTCGACAATGGTCTTTGAACTAGGGAAAAAAATGAGAACAGGAAATTCAAAAAAATATTCCGTTTTTTTAACTTATTTTTGAGGTTAAGTTTGGTTTGAGAGATTGAAATAAGCAAATTCTAAAGACTTTGACAACGGTTTTTGAACTTATAAGGAAGATTAAGTAGAGAAAATCCAGAAAATATTCAGCTTTTAACTTATTTTAAGGGCTGATGTTGGTTTGAGAGATCGAAAAACTATTCCAAAGGCTTTAAAAATAATCTATGAACTATAAAGGGAAGAATGAGTACACCAAATTCAGAAAAATATTTAGTTTTTTTAACTCATTTTTACAAATTCTAATGGCTTTGACAACGGCTTTTTGAACTTCTAGGGAAGGTTGAGTACACAAAATTCAGAAAATAATCAGTTTTTTTAACTTATTTTTAAAGGCTAAAAATTGGTTTGAGAGATTGAAAAAAACAAGTTCTAAAGACTTTGACAACGGTTTTTGTACTTCTAGGAAAGGTTGACTACATAAAATCCAGAAAAATATTCAATTTTTTTAACTCATTTTAAGGGTTAAAGTTGGTTTGAGAGACACATTTTTTTGATGAAAATGAACATCATAAGATTAAAAATCGGATCATGAGAACCTGATTACTGGAATTTTTGAAAAATTTTTAAGGGCGAAGAAAAAAACATTTTTTTCTTTTCTAGAAAGAATAACGTTCATTGAAGACTAATTTGAAAAAAATAAATCTAGAAAAATTGCAATATTTGAAAAATTTTTTTCCAAGAAAAAAATGGAAAATATCGATTTTTCACGAACTTCATTTTCTTTTACACGGAGTTGATGACGAAAAACTGGCATTTATTTATTTTATCAGAAATAAATAAAAAATTTTTAAAAGCTTTCGGGTAGGAGAAATAAATTTTTTCTCGTTGAATTTCTCTAATATCTTTTCCTAACTTCATAACATAATCAAGCTACTCAAAATCACCGGAAGCCCTTCTGAAGAACCGATTTCTCCCCTTCAAGAGAAAAAAAAACCCGGCGTCACGCCATTTTCAGCCTGATTCAGCTTTCTTCGTCATGGATTCACTTCTTCATCTCCCAGTTTTCGATGAGACGACAAGTTTTCAGAAGGTTTGTCAAGTCTCTCTCAATTTTTGATAGGAATTAATATGAACATTGTATTTTCCTAACACAATCTTAAGGTGAATGACAGGCATCGGGTTTCGGTCAGTTGGACGACTTCTCTGTGATCTTTTCTTGATATTTTCCTACTTTCAATTTAAAGGAGCATAGGGAACGCTGTAGAAAATATCGCGACACGTACTTTGGAACTCCAGAGTGGTCCCTATAGGAGGCAACCTTGGGGGTCTTGGGACCGCTTTAGCAACCTTTATAGGGGTCACTAAGGCTTGCAAAAAGTGGCCCCTCTAGGGGGCTTGCTAGTCGGTTTTTTTTTAAGGAAAAAATACCTAAATAAGCGTTTTTTGAATGAAATTGAGAGGCCCCTTTACCACTTGAGGTTTGGTGGCTAAGAGGTCAGACTCTAAACCTCTATAGGGACTCCTTGATTTTAACCCTAGAAGGGCCACTTTTACGGCCTCTATACGGGCTGTTTCTTCCTTAACCCCTCAATGGACCACTTAAGCTTCAGGGTCTAAGGGGTCAGCCCCTACATTCCCCTATAGGGACCACTTTTGTTTTCACCCCTATAGGGACCACTTTTCGGCCTTTATAGGGACTTTTACCCCTGTAACCCCTATAGGGATCACTCTAAAACTCCTAAAACCCCTATAGGGACCGCTCTGGAATTTTTAAGACGTTACGTTTTTTCACACTTTTAGGCTTCACGTGATTCTACTATGATCCAGTTTTGTCGATTTAAGACTGTTTTTTTGAAGTATTTTCGTATCATTACCATCAATTATTATCAATTTTAGGTCTGGCGATCTTCGGTGCGGAATATTTCGCCTCCAAACTCTGACTGAAATCATTTGTAGTAAGTAAAAGAAGAGAGAATAAACGAAAATGTGAACTTGGTATTATTATTATTGCTGCAATTTATGAAAATAGCGGAAACCGATAGCGGTCGGTTGCAGGTACGACTGCCGCCTCCTGCTGACGTCACTGGATGAAGCGACATCGCGAAAAGAAGCAGAAGACGAGAGTTGTCCCACAGAGGCGATGGAGGAAGAGATGTGCGAGGAGGAGCGATATCGCGACATGTACCGCGATATTCAAGAAGCTGGTCAGTGTAAAATTGAAGAGAAGCGGATAATAATTTAAAAAAATGAGTTGAAATTTACTTTCTCCTCAAAATTATTGTTGAAAATGATGAAAAATGATGAAAAATGTAGAAGACTTTATTAACAGCGTTTACAAGAGGATTTTTTTAAACTTTATTGAAAAACTATAAAACGATAGTTTCAATGAGCTTGATGAAGGTTGTTGTACGGAAAATAACTTCAAAATTTTTAATTTGAAATAAATAAAAAAAGGCGTAAAGTATTAAGAATTGATTTTTCGGGTTACTGTAGGCGAAAACCGTGCAGACACTCGTCGTTGCGGACAAACTTTTTTTCCGTACGACATTTTTTTGTTCCTAAATTTTCCGTCAAATTTTCGTTTTTTTGACGTTTTTTTGTTCAATTTCTTTGCTTATTTTTGTTTAGTGCTGATTTTAAGATGATTTAGTTGATTCACTTTCTGATTTTAAGAGGGTTATAATGAAGAATTGAGAAAAATCAAAGGATTTATTGAGCGAAATCTTTTTTTGCTTTTTTTATTAAAAGCGAAATTTACCCTGGCAATGAAAAAAAGTATCTTCGAAGAAAAAATATAGCTTCGGTTTTTTTGCTTACAAATAAAATTCAGCTTTGCGTGAGGAAAAGCGTAAAAGAGAAACGGCTGAGAATCGAAAAGCTCAATTTGGATTCAACTACGGCACGGATACAGTTAAAGTTGGTTTTTTTTTTGTATATCATTGCGAAAATGTCATTTTTTATTATTTTCATTTTATAAATAGAAATGGAATGCCAATTCTCCACCTTGTATGTTTATGTTTGGAAGATATAGATTTTAAAAAAATCTGGAAATCAGTTCAATTTTTCTCATATTTTTCAGGTGAAAGAAGAATCGGACAGCGATAGTGAGGATGAACCATTTTGTCGCTCCCTCCCGGCATCAAATTTCCCTGTTGGATTGGAATTGGTGAACATTTAAAAACTCCAATAATTTAATAAAATTTATTTTACAGCCAGAAAAATCAGAAGCAGAAACCATATAATCGAACGGACGGCGACATTTGTCGTCGCCAACGGAGCCCAAATGGAGATTGTCATTAAAGCCAAACAGAGGCATAATGTGGGACAGGTGAGAAATAAAATTCAAAGAAAAACCGTAAACTTTCTAATTGTTCAGTTTGGCTTCTTGGAGTTCGACCATCCACTAAACCCCTACTACAAATACGTCCAGAAGTTGATCCGCGAGAAGAAATACATGCCTGACGCGACTAGGAAGTCGAGCAAACCCGGCTCGGGAGCTTCGACGCCGGTCAATGGAAAAGGAAATTCGAAGCCTACCACTTCCAGTGCACTTGCTGCTATTGCTGAACGTGCGTTTTGAAATTTTTTCAGGACATATTTTGATTTGAAGCTTGAAATGATATTTTTGGGCTTTCAGCAGAGAAGGGTAAAAAACATATTCTTTGATCTTTATTTTTAAATCATTTTCATTTCGTAAAATCGCATCTTCAATGTCTAAAAAGTACATTTAAGTCAGTGGTGAAAAAAATTCAAAATTTTTTTCAAGTTCCGGAAAGGAAAAAAATTGATTTCGAAACTTTGAAATCGTTTTCTGGCCTTCAGGAGAAAATAAAATGTTAAAAATTTTGTTTCAAACTGAATGAAGCTTCTAAATTTTTTCTCACTAGTTGAGGCTGAAGATTTTTTAGCTTCACATTGAGTTTCTAGAAACACGAAACTTTCATAAATGTTTCAGATAAAAATATTAAACTGTTCCGATATGTTCACAGTTTTTATTCTAATATTTCTTTTTATTATTATTTTTTTCGATAGCGTTGTTAAGTTTGATCAAAGGAGCTCTGAAAAAGATTTTTTTGTTTCTAATTCTTTTTTTACTTTATCAAGGAATAGACATAACATAAGCGATGTGAAGTTTGATTTTATGAGTGTTTTGAAGTTTTTTTTCACAAATTCATCACTGTGCTAGTTAACAGAATGGAAAAGCTCTATAAGAAAAGTATTTGGTTAAGAAAATTGCTGTTCATAGCGTTCCTCTGAAAACAAACTTTTTTTTTTCGAAACAAGCTCTTCTATTAGGGATAGTCAATAATAATGTTTGAGAAATTTTTCTTCCAGAACACGGCTCGGATTCGGACGATGATTCTGACTCCGACTGCGAGCTACACCCATCTTTACTGGCTGCTATGGGAAAACGAGCGCCGAGTCCCGATATCCGCGACTCTGAAGGCGTACGGATTCTGTGACGTCTTCTGAAGTTGATGAAGAATTAATTGCAGATGTCTGGACCGAGAGGCCGGCCGAAACTGCAGCCGGATCCGCCGAGAAAAGCGTCTGAGCAGGACAAGCCGAATTATGAGATTTCCAAGGTTAATGAAGTTTTTGTGATTTCTCTTGTGGAACTTGTAGGGGCAGCCTTAAGGGGCCCTTGGAGGGTCCCCTCTAGCGACCACTTTGCCAATCCCTATAGAAGCTGCTAAAGCTTGCAAAAAGGCTCCCTATAGGGGCTTTTAGTTAGTGGCTCCTATAGGGAACAGGCTAGTTGATAATTATAGGGCTACTTTTTCGGCCCTTATATGGGTTGTTTTCTCACTAACCCCTATAGGGACCCCTCTGGAATTCCTGAGAAGGCTTGAAGAGCTTGACTGTTAATATTTATTGATGTCATTTTTTTTTTCTAAGAATCGTGTTTTTAACCGTTTCATGCGGTGTAAGACGCATAGGCGGAAGCCTTTCCTATCTTAAATTATGTAAACTTACTACCTGAGATCAAAAATTACCTTTATTTTTGTTAAAACTTCCTTCCTAGCGTTGAAATTCATATTCAAACCTTATTTGTGGAAATTTTGTAAGAACCTGTCCTCCTAGGCAGTGTTAGTTTCGTACTTGCGCGAGTAACTGAAAAACTGAAAAATTGATATCAAATCGGGGAGTGCTGATAGGCATTATTAATAAACCGTGGGAATCAAGAAAAGAGATTAAAGGAGGAAAATCAAAACTCAAAGATAGATTGTTCCAGTTCACAGGAAAAATTGAATGGTATTGATGTTCAAACATTTCAGGGAAACGACGTCTACGCGTCGTTGTTCAAAAGCCTCGCGCAAGTCACCCAGCTTCAAGTGAAGCCCAAGGAAGAGCCGCAGCAGGTCAAACAGGAGCCTCCATCTCAACCTCAACCCCAGCCTCAACCCCAACAAAAATTCAAATTTGAAGTGGAGCCGCAGATAATCCAAGGCGTCGACGCGTAGGCCGCCAAGAAGGATTATTCAGCCAAAGTGGTCATTTTAGTGACGGCCGAGTGGACGATCCTGGCTTCCGAGAGTGGTACGCCTCGTTCTACGGAACTCCCTGCCCTTGGCGAGGACCCAAAGTGATGGTTCCGCCGTCGCCCGACCTGGAGCCCGTCGTGACCAGCTATGCGGAATACGTCGCCAGGAGGGGCGTCGATGTCGAGAGAAGCCTGGCTCGTGCGTTTTGTCCGATTTTTTAGATTCAGTAGATGAAAAGAGCCTTTTGTGAGGAGTAGGGAAGAATATCTGCCTAATAATGGTTTGATCAAGCACTTAGGGACTCCAGAGTGGTCCCTATAGGGACAGCCTTAGGGGCACTTGAAGGTTACCCTCTAGGGACCACTCTATAGGGACCACTCTAGCTTTAGAAGTGAGAACCGAAACGCCTGTAGGGACTGAAGAAAAATACCTTCAGATAAAAAATGTGGTTTGATCAAGTAAAGTGGACCCTATAGGGGCAACCTGAGGTGCGCTTGAAGATTACTCTCTAGGGACCACTTTGCCACCCTATAGGGGCCACTGGATTAGCGTTATTCAAATAAAATTTATCATTAGAGGATGGATTGGTCAATTTTCTCTTTTGAACTTTCAAAGAATACCAGAAAATTTGAAGATTCCTATAGGGACCACTTAAGAAAAAGGGGTCAGAGCCTAAACGCCTGTAGAGATCGTGAAGAGAGATATTGACGGAAAAATTTTGGTTTGATCAACTTACTAGTTAGTAACTCCAAAGTGGTCTCTCTAGAGGCAATCTTAGGGGCCCCTGAAGACCACTTTAGAACCCCTATAGGGGCCACTAAATGGTCGTTGAATTAGCGTTATTCCAATGGAAAAATAATATCAGAGGATGAACAAGATTGCCACTTGAACTTTCAAATCATAACAGAAAGTTTGAAAAACCCTATAGGGACCACTCTGGCGACACGCCCACCATTATATGTTCCTTTTTTTTTGTACGACTTTTAAATTTACTTTATCAACTGGACATCACTGAAAAATTATTTTACAGTACGTCAAGACTTGAAGCTAGAGTTCATGCAGCCTCACAATCCACACTTTTCCTACTATCAACACCGAGTCAGGATGATTCAGTGGCATATCTCCCAGGAACAACATTCTCTTCAACTCGATAATCAGGCTGTAAGCTCGGGATTCCCTTCAAATGAGTATAGTATTCTCATTTTCAGTTTGTCGGACCCCAGAAACCAGCAGGCCTCGATTCGCCCAAACCGATGTTTGATGTGAGTATCATGGAAACTAGAGTTATTTTACTTGAGAATTCTCTGAAAATCGATCAGGATACTTCTAGATTTGCCATATGAATCCTGGATTTCCTTGAAATCTCCGAAATTCCCTAGAAAGAAGTGCTCAAAATATTTTTTCACCAAAACCTGGAAATTTTAAGAGTTGACCTATTCAGAATCACAATATGAAACATTGAGGAGTATTCTGACCAGTTTTCCGAAAATTCCCCTTAATGATCTTCCTTGTAAAGCACCTGGAGAAACTTGACGATTTTCAGAATGCGACGCCGCCACCGCCTTTCATGGCGCTGAACTCGCCGAGGGCGGCGCCGCCTCCACCACCGCCGCCTCCTCCGCAGGCTGGAGTTTCCGTTGTCCCGGCACCTGTCGTCGTTGGTGAGGGTTCTCATCAATCTTGTTCAGTTTTTTTAGTCATAGATCATAAGTCGGCCCATCCCGGGGTGCGGCCTACCCCCCTTAAACTGCGGCCTACCCCCAAAAAGTGCGGCCGATGTATGTCATAGATGTAATCGACTAGGCGGAAAACAAAAACCGCCTTTAGCGAGCTAGAAGTCCAGAAACGCCTCGGAAAACGAGCAACAACTTACAAACAGGGATCTCGAGGAGAATAATAATACTTTTCGTCAAAATATGGAAATACGATCCAATACTTTATCTTATATCATTTCTATTCATAGCAGCTTTGAAACGTGTCTATAACGGGTGAAATTAGGCAATCAAAAAAAATTTTGTTGAGTCTAATAGAAGCATTTTTAAGTTTTTGAAGGCAAGGAGAAAACAAAAATTAATCTGCGAACTTGGGATCTCCAGAAAAATGAAACTTGGGATCTCCAGAGTGGTTTCTATAGGGACAACCTTAAGGGCCCTCGGAGGGTTCCCTTTAGGGACCACTTGAGCTTTAGGGGCTAAGAAGCCAGATCCTAAACCCCTATAGGTACCACTTTTTCGGCCCCTGACTGTTTTTTCACCCTAACCCCTATAGGGAACATTCTGAAGTTTCTAAGTATATCAAGAATGAAGTCAAAGGAGAGATGTATACATGATAGTTACTCTGTTATTAAAATTATAAAATAAGTCGTAATAGTGAAAACGAACGGAAAATACTGACCATAAACATTGAACTTTGTGCAGCCTTTTAAAAATGATCTCCCGGAAGAAGAACTTCCTATCCAACTTTCGTTCGACGCTTTTAGTCATGAACAATAGCATATCCGAAAGAAAAAAAAACCGCTGTGAATGCGTTTGAACTTATGACCTTAGAATACCCAGAAAATTTGAAATTACCTTGGGATTTTTATTATTCCGAACATACAACTGATTCACGGCTGTCTTGAGCCATCGAAAAATGGGTCCTGACACGATAAGAATAGAGACAGTGCCTGGTTGGTGCAGAGTGCAGACACGACACGCCTCCTTACTGTCCCAAGCTAGCCGTGAATTGGCAATATCTTCATTTTTACCATTTCCAGAACCCCAACTGAACCGGAAGCAACGTCGGCGGCTACAGGAAGCGACCAAATTCGCCGACGTCCCACCCCCGCCTGGAGTCGTCGACCCGGTGGCCCTGAAAGCTATCCCTCCAGTCACCCTCACTGAGGTTTCCCGTTTCTCATCCCGGAAAATTGATGATTTTCTTCAAGATCCCCAAGATCCAGTCGGCGCCGTCGTTGCTCCAAGCAGTGCCTTCTGAACCGAACCTCATCGATCCCCTTCGGCCGCAAATTTCGTTCACTGTGACCGCCAAAAAGGCCCCGGAGGAAGGGAAAACACTTCAGCCTTCTGTGTGAGGAAACTTTGGAAAAAGCAGCCGGAAGACCACAAAATAGAAAATAAATAAGTGTCGCTAGATTCTATAAGAACAGTTGAGAAACATCGGAGTCCTTTTTTTTATTTTTTGGATGAGTCAATTTGGTTTTTTGGGATTCGAAAAAAAGAGAGCGTTTGATATTGAAATTGATCCATACATTTGAAATTATTCGGCCTCTCAACTTATCATTTTCAGCTTCCTCTAGGCTTTTCTGAGCGATTATTGAAAATTTCCGAATTATTTTATTCTCATTGAGAATTCGCAGTGATCCTTGACAACTGCATATTTTTCAAGTTTCAGAACGTTTTTCAAGACAATTTCGACTTATTTTTACGACCAAATTTCAGTAATTATCAAGATTACTTTGCAGACTTGTCGAGGAAGCGCTGGACGAGGCCCTCGCTTCGACTTCGACCTTCGATCCGGACATTTTGGATTCTCCGACGACTTTTCCACAAGATCAGCCGGCGACTTCTCTTCAGCCCAATTCGAATCTGGCTGCGGTCAGTTTTTTTTTTGCTTTTACAGACTTCAGTAAATTTGCCAGAAATCCTGCAGAAGAATTGGATAATTTTGGTTGACCTTAGTTTTAGAAGCAGTAGTTGGAGAAAGGTTGAAATTTTTAGAGGAAAAAATCTAAGTTTAAGTCGAGAATTTTGAATATTTTGTAGTGATTCTGACAGGAAGAGTAGATTTGGAAGGATTTCTCGCTTTTTTCTGAGAATTTCGAGACTCAATTTCTTCTTCTTTTATGTGCGTTTTGAACATTGGTTTAGGGGTTTTTTGGGTTTTATGGGAATTAAGAGCAAGAATACACAAATAATACAACGGAGAATAAATAAATAGGAAAATAACACTTAAGTGAAATAATAACCCGAAATCGGACAAGAAGAAATTTATCATGGGGGAAAATAAACTCGGAACAAGTTGGAAATAAATAAATAGAATAAAATAATAGAGAGGTCATTTAATGGCAGTTTAGAATTTCAAAAAAAGAAATAGTGATTTTAATACGAGAATAAATATAATGACAGTACATTGGAAGATATTGGAACAATTATAATTGATTGAAAAATAATAAATTAATGAACAATAAATAAATAAAATAACGAGAAATTAAATGAAAATAAGGCCACATTGAACAATTTAGTGACGAGTACAAGTTAAAATTAATTATAGAACGAAAAAAATAGGTAAAATAAGTACCAAAGTCATTCGAGAAAATAGATAGATGAAAATAATCGAATTAATTACTAGGGTCCTTAACTAAACAAAGATCAAACATCCACTGGGCGAGGAATGGAGAGGCGTCACTTAAGGGAATTCCGGCTTGAGCGATATATGAAAGGACTTGTGTGGTAATGGGGACCATTGAAGGGAAATGGGGCACAATATCGACTGGAGTGGGATTTGAGAAGAAAATGGGAGTGAAATCAAAGGTTGGGCTCGGGAGTGGGCGGGACAGGGGACATTGGCGGGAGATCTACGTCCAGAGGGAGATCGTGGTCTTCTTCGAACTCCTGCTCTACTTCCTTCACTTTGAGAAGTTTGTCACGATTTGCCTAGAAAAGGAATATTTGATTGTGAAATTATTAAGAGGGCAACTCACATGTCTAGTATTGCGGTTTGTAAATCTCTTGACGAACTCGACTGCTTCTGGATTCCTGACGGCGGGCTCCCGGAACATGTACGAAGATTCGTACATGTTCCGGTAGAACGTCTCGAAATCCTCCTTCGGCTCCTCTTCTTCGCTGGCGTCGCTTTCCTGAAATCACAAGTTAGGATTGAAGGTTTTAAGGATTTAGAGAAGCACATCTCAAGAAACAGAAGATCATCAAATTTTACAAAAAATAGTAAAAAAAGAACCTTCTTGACTTCTTTGAGTTCGACTTCGACTGGTTTCACGGCGCCTGGTCCTGCGAACATGTACGACGTTTCGTACATGTTCCGGTAGAACTCCTCGAATTCCTCGCCTGCCGTCTTCTTCTTTTGGGTGACGTCGTGTTCCTGGAAGAAGATGTTAAAATAGAAACTTGGAAAAATTTTATCATTTTTTTCACTGTTTCCTAAAAAAATAAAGCTAGAATAACTGTTTCAGCATTAATAGAAAAAAATTATTTGCAACTTTTTCAAAAAAACTAGTTCAAAAATGACATCTCTGCTCGCAATTTTGAACTTTTATGAAGAATTTTTTCAAATGAAAAAAAATAAACCTTCTTGACTTCTTTGAGTTCGACTCCGGTTGATTTTTTTGACGGCTGGCTCGGCGAACATGTACGACGTTTCGTACATGTTTCGGTAGAAATCCTCGAATTCCTCGCCCTTCGTCTTCTTCTTTTCCACGACGTCGCTTTCCTGGAATTTCATGATGAAATTCAAGTTTTTTCACAAGATTTTTCGCGCTTTCAACTTTTTATGTGTGGTTTTAACAGAAAAGTTCAAAATAGCTCTTAAAAAGTAAGAGAATAGAAACCTTTTTGATACTGTTGATCTCCACTTTTGGTTTCTTGACGAGGGGACCGTACATGTGCGATGTTTCGTACATGTTACGGTAGAACTCCTCGAACTCTTCACCGGCCGTTTTTCCCTTGACGATTGCGTTTGACTTCGTTTACCTGGAAAATTGAAAAATTAGTTCCATTGCTACAAAAAGCTGTTAAAAAATATGAGAAGTACTTTCAAATAAAATAAAAAGAACCTTTTTTCGAATTTCTTAGTGAAGACGATTTTAAGAAAATATGTGGAAGTATTTGCAAAAGCGTCAGAGTTTTGATGAAATGATATAATAAGTTACGTAAAGCAAAAATTATTGAACACGTAGAAGTTTATAATTGCAAAAAAATTATAAATAACAAACCTTCACGATTTCGTTTCTCTCCACGATTTTACGCTTGTTTTGGCGTTTCTTCTTGTGCTCGGACTGAAAATAAATAATTGAAGTTTTCAAAATTAGAAAAGAAATACACGAAAAAGTAATGAAAATCAAAAAGAAAACTCACGATTTCTTGAGCGATCGGCTCTTGGAAATTGTCGGAGAATTCGACTTTGACTGTCTCGAGGACTCGAGGATTCTCGAGAAAGTACGAAGATTCGTACATTTCTCCGTGGAAATCCTCGAAGTCTCTCTTGACGGCGGACATGGTCGAATGGAGTGAGATGGGAACACTGGACAACCGCTCGGGAGAGCAAAGTTGGGACAGAATGAAGGTCTGAGGAGCTTGGGACTTGACCCGACCCCCCGACTCCGCCCTCTTTTGGCACCTTTTGTTTGTCCCCAGGCCTTCACCCGCGCGGCAAAAGCTCAAGTTTGCTTTGAAGGTGATAATTGCTCTAGGCGAGGGAACGCCTGCAGGTGTTACAAATGTTTGAATAAGCATCTTTTTAATTTTCCTTTTGTATTTCCGATTGATAATGAGTTTGTAAATATTGGAAACAAACAAAGGTGCCTTTGTTGATTTTCGGATGGACTGGGTTGAACATGGGAAACAAAGAAGGCAAATTATAATTTTGGTGAGAGGTAACTGAATACCAAAGATGTAGTATGATGAGAGCGATTGTTTTTATTATTAATCAATCTATTTTTAAAATATCGAAGAATTTAATCCGAAGAAAGAAAAATTATTGAAAAAGCCTTTCCTGTCAGATTTTGAATTATACGCACAAAAATGTTGGCATTTTCTAGAGTCGGAGAGTTTTTTGAGGTTCCTATGCACAACTTTTAAATTGAGTTGTTCACATTTCTCATTCAAAATCAGTTCTCGGAGTAATTGAAAAATGAACCAACTCATAGAATTTATGAGACTTGATCTGTTTTTTGAAGTAATCTTTTCAATAAACTGTACTATTTTTTCTGTACAGGCATTTTCCTTTGAAACTGTCGAAGTTTTGCAGGATTTTGTCATACTTGAACTTTTTCGAATCTGTTCATTTGATTCTGTAAAAGAGGTTTTTTCCTTAAAATCAAACCGAATCATGTTGATCTTGAAGTTTTTGAAGCAATGCTTATTTCCAACGTTTTGTACAGTCTTACTATCCTACCATTCGTTAATTGATCTTGTCTCAGGATCCACTTCTTTTGCCCCCGGAACCTCCTTCCATTCCAAACAATACACAACTCGACAGGAAAGAGAAGGTTTTTGATTCCTTTTTTTCAAATTGCAAAATCAATTTTTCAGGCCAGAATATTCATGGAACGGCTTTTGAACGAAAAACGCCTGAAAAAGCAGCAAGAGGAGGAGGAAAAGCGAAAAACCGAAGAAGAAGCGAAGAAACCCAAGGTTTTTCAGTGGAAGTTCAGCCGGAGAAATCTATGCTTTTTTCAGAAATCGAGCGAAGATGAGAAGAAGGAGCCGGTGAAGATTGGCCTGAGCGCCATCGACGATATTATCAATAAGTTGGTTTTTTTGCGTAGAAAAATGATGGAAAGCTTCTAACTGTCTGCGCTCTCTTATCATTCACCGGAAGGAAATATCAGGTCTAAAAGGAGAGTTCAGAGAGTCAGAATTATGTAGAATATCTTTTCGTGGTTTTTGTTATAGCTTCATTTTGGAACTTTCTAATTCACTTCTCTCTCTTCTCCCTCACAAGGTTGAAATATCATAGAAAGATGAGAGACTGCAGAGTGTTAGACATTCCAGTCGGCTTTCTGAGAAATATAAACTGGTGAAGTTCCAACTCAAGTTACGTACGCTCCATGCGCTGATGCCTGGTTCATTCTAACTTTCCAGGCTCTCTTTTCTTTCTTTCTAGAGAAAGACCACGGAAAAACGAGAGAGTGCAGATGGTTAGACTTGTGTAAAGAGTCAAAAATAGGTTTCCTAATAACGATAAGCTTGGAAGTCTAACTGTCTGCGCTCTCTGCTTTCTGGTCAGAAGTAGAGGACAAATAAGAAGCAGAGAGCTGAGACAGTTAGAGTTTTCAAGCTACTGTGAATAATTTATTCTTTGGTGTAGTTTTGAAATTGCTGATTATTAATTTGAACGATTTTTGAGTAGTTTTTCTCGGGACATTACATGTTTTACAAAGCTCAAGGTTGAAACCTTCAGACGCATCGACAGTATCCTCGTGGAGTCGGGCTTCAAAACCGAGGAGAAGAAGAAGGAAGAGGAGAAAGAGGAGGATACAGAGAAGAAGAAACGAAGGAAACGGAGTCGGTCGAGGTCTCGGAGCGGCGAACGGAAGAAGTCGTCGAAAAAAGAGCGCCGAAGAAGGTCCAGATCGAGGTCCCGCTCCAGGGAAAGGTCCAGGAGAAATCGGAGACATCGGAGTTGAAATGTTCTCTTTTCCTTGTTTTTTTGATAAATATTCTATTTCCTTGGGTTTTCCTGTTGATTTTTGTTATGGGGACACAATCCCTCATTTTTATGGCTTTGTATTGAAGTGCAGTGTATTAGAGATATTCGGAAGCGGAAGCGAGAGAGCAGTGTGACTTGAAGAGACTACAGACAAGTGAGAAAACTTTGCTCTCTGGCGTCTCTTCCAGAAACTGATCTCTCTATCCCGCTTTTTGAAAAACCAATTATATTCAAAACAGCACTCTGATGTGTTATATATAGTAAAGCTTTTTGAATATTTTTACGTTTTTATTTAAAAGGAGGCTTCGCGCATCGATGAACATTATCAACAAATTTATTTGTTTTTTGAGATGTTTCTGAAAATGTCAAGTGAATTTGATAACCCTGTTACGAATTGTAGAAACGAAAATTGTTGAATATTTTATAAAAAAACATGAGCTCAAGTAATTCTTATCTCAGTCCTAAAACTTCCAAAAATTTGCTTAAAAAGTTGAGAAAACGCGTAACATTTCGTCAGAAACGGCTATCGAACTTTTTGTCTTACTGTAGTTGGGAGACGTGCAGACACCCGCAGTTGCGGACTAAACTTTTTTCTTACGACACTTGTATTCTCACCTAATTTTTTTCCGATTTCTGATTTGAAAACGTTTTTCCTTCGATTGTGCGGGTTGAATGATGAAATAGATGTTATTTGGAGTTTTACGGGCAACATCAGAATCTGGGAAGAAGATATCAAAGAATTGGTTCCATTCCGTTTGCTCGAACTTCTTTGTACAATGATTCAAATTTGTTCTTTTTCCTATTCGTCATAAATAGTGGGAAAGAATACAAGTCTATTTTTCAACTTTTGTGTTTATGTTTGAAAAAAAAAATTTGGATAAACAAGTTGGAAATCGATTGAATTTCCTTCATATTCCAGCTGGAAAAGAGTCCGACAGTGAACATGAATTTCTCGTGGCACATCCCGGGATCAAATTTCTCGTTGAATGGGAATTGGTAGAACAATTGTTGATTTTATGTGGAATTGAACTTTTTTTTCAGTTGGACTCCTTGCTCCGGTGGCTCTGAGATCTTTCCCTTCAGGCACCCTTACTGAGGTTTCCCGTTTTTCATTCTGAATAGCGTATGATTTTCTCTAAGATTCCAAAAATCCAGTCGGTTTTTGAATCTTTTTCTTTCTCATTGAAAAATCTGCAGTGCTCCTTGATAACTGCCTATTTTTCAATTTTTTACAAGTTTTTGAGAACTTTTTCAAGTCATTTCAGTCTATTTTACGGCCTTTACTTTTCCGATTATTTTAGTAAACATCTAGATGATTTTGCAGACTCGTTGAAGAAACGCTGGACGAGGCCCTGGCGTCGACTTCGACCTTCGATCCGGACATTTTGGATTCTCCGACGACTTTTCCACAAGATCAACCGGCGACTTCTCTTCAGCCCAGTTCGAATCTGGCGGCGGTCAGTTTTTTTCAGAATTCAGTAAGTCTGCCAGAAATTCAAAAGAAGAATCGGATAATTTTGCTGTCTTCAGCTTTTCAATTTTCGAAGCAGTAGTTGGAGAAATTTCGAAAATTTTTGTGGAAAAAATCTAAGTTCAAGTCGAAAGTTTTGAATTTTCTGTAGTGATTCTAACAGTGAGAGTAGATTTGGAAGGATTTCTCGCTTTTTTCTGAGAATTTCGAGACTCAATTTCTTCTTCTTTTATGTGCGTTTTGAACATTGGTTTAGGGGTTTTTTGGGTTTTATGGGAATTAAGAGCAAGAATACAGAAATAATACAACGGAGAATAAATAAATAGGAAAATAACACTTAAGTGAAATAATAACCCGAAATCGGACAAGAAAGAAATTGATTATGGGGGAAAATAAACTCGGAACAAGTTGGAAATGAATAAATAGAATAAAATAATAGAGAGGTCATTTAATGGCAGTTTAGAATTTCAAAAAAAGAAAATGGGATTTAAATAAGAAAATAAATATTATAAGAGTACATTGGAAGATATTGGAACAATCATAATAGTTAGAAAATAATAAGTAAAATGACAATAAATAAATAAAATAAATAATTAAATGAAAATAAGGCCACATTGAACAATTTGGTGACGATAATAAGTAATAATTAATCAGAGAACGAGAAACTAGAGAAAATAGTATGATGAAAATAATCGAATTAATTACTAGGGTCCTTAACTAAACAAAGATCAAACATCCACTGGGCGAGGAATGGAGAGGCGTCACTTAAGGGAATTCCGGCTTGAGCGATATATGAAAGGACTTGTGTGGTAATGGGGACCATTGAAGGGAAATGGGGCACAATATCGACTGGAGTGTGATTTGGAAAGAAGATTGGGGTAAAATCAAAGGTGGGCTCGGGAGTTGGCGGGACAGGGGACATTGGCGGGAGATCCACGTCCAGAGGGAGATCGTGGTCTTCTTCGAACTCCTGCTCTTCTTCCTTCACTTTGGGGAGTTTGTCACGGTTTGCCTAGAAAAGGAATACTTGATTGTGAAATTATTAAGAGGGAAACTCACATGTCTAGTATTGCGGTTTGTAAATCTCTTGACGAACTCGACTGCTTCTGGATTCCTGACGGCGGGCTCCCGGAACATGTACGAAGATTCGTACATGTTCCGGTAGAACGTCTCGAAATCCTCCTTCGGCTCCTCTTCTTCGCTGGCGTCGCTTTCCTGAAATCACAAGTTAGGATAGAAGATTTTAAGAATTTAGAGAAGCGCATCTCAAGAAACAGAAGATTATCAAATTTTACAAAAAATAGTAGAAAAAGAACCTTCTTGACTTCTTTAAGTTCGACTTCAACTGGTTTCACGGCGCCTGGTCCTGCGAACATGTACGACGTTTCGTACATGTTCCTGTAGAAATTCCTCGAATTCTTCGCCCTGCCGTCTTCTTCTTTTGGGTGACGTCGTGTTCCTGGAAGAAGATCTTAAAATAGAAACTTGGAAAATCTAATTATTTTTTCACTGTTTCTCAAAAAATGAAGCTAGAACAACTGTTTCAGCATTAATAGAAAAATTATTTGCAACTAGTTCAACTAGTTCAAAAATGACATCTCTGCTCGCAATTTTTAACTTTTGGGAAGAATTTTTTCAAATGAAAAAAAATAAACCTTCTTGACTTCTTTCAGTTCGACTCCGGCTGATTTTTTGACGGCTGGCTCGGCGAACATGTACGACGTTTCGTACATGTTTCGGTAGAAATCCTCGAATTCCTCGCCCTCCGTCTTCTTCTTTTCCACGACGTCGCTTTCCTGGAATTTCATGATGAAATTCAAGTTTTTTTCACAAGATTTTTTTCGCGCTTTCAACTCTTTTATGTGTGATTTTTAACAGAAAAGTTCAAAAATAGCTCTTAAAAAAAGTAAGAGAATAGAAACCTTTTTGCTGTTGATCTCGACTTTTGGTTTCTTGACGATGGGACCGTACATGTGCGACGTTTCGTACATGTTACGGTAGAACTCCTCGAACTCTTCACCCGGCCGATTTTTCCCTTGACGATTGCGTTTGATGTCGTTTACCTAGAATGTTGAAAAATTAGTACAATGTATGAAAATGTTTAGAAATGATAGAAATGTTTTAAAATCAGCTGAAAAAGTACCTTTTGCGGATTATGGGAAGTTTGAAACGGTTTCAAAGAAATAAGAAGACGTATTTGCAAAAAAGTCAGTTTTTGATGAAATGAGAAATACGCTACGTTTAGCAAAATTATTGAACACGTAGAAATTTGTGATTGAAAAAATTATAAATAACCAACCTTTACGATTTCGTTTTTGTTCCACAATTTTACGTTTGTTTTGGCGTTTCTTCTTGTGCTCGGACTGAAAATAAATAATTGAAGTTTGAAAATTAGAAAAGAAATACACGAAAAGTAATGAAAATCAAAAAGAAAACTCACGATTTCTTGAGCGATCGGCTCTTGGAAATTGTCGGAGAATTCGACTTTGACTGTCTCGAGGACTCGAGGATTCTCGAGAAAGTACGAAGATTCGTACATTTCTCCGTGGAAATCCTCGAAGTCTCTCTTGACGGCGGACATGGTCGAATGGAGTGAGATGGGAACACTGGACAACCGCTCGGGAGAGCAAAGTTGGGACAGAATGAAGGTCTGAGGAGCTTGGGACTTGACCCGACCCCCGACTCCGCCTCTTTTTGGCACCTTTTGTTTGTCCCCAGGCCCTCGCCCGCGCGGCAAAAGCTCAAGTTTGCTTTGAAGGTGATAATTGCTCTAGGCGAGGGAACGCCTCGAGGTGTTACAATTGAGATAGTTGGTGCCTTTGTGTTTCTGATTGACACGATCGAATATGAGAAACAAATAAAATCGAAAAAAATAATACTAAAAAAAGAGTTGGGTGCCTAGATTTCCATCGATTTTTCTTAAAAAAATTGCATGTTCAGTGCATCCGTGAGAAAAATAAGACGTATTCTCAAGAAATTTCAAGAATCTGAGAATATTTTTCTACTTTTGACTTCAGAAAATATCTTTCTTTGAAAAATTTCTCCTCTTTTTTTGTTGAAATTTGTATTATGATAATGCAATTCGAATGATTTCACCTCATTAATTTGTCAGTTATTACATTTTTTGTTTCACTTGGAAGAGACTTGAGAAACGCCTAAAATATTTCTGGTTATATATCCCATCGGTTCTATTTTATCGAGAAGTCGCAAAGAAGCTGTAGCTTAACAAAATTTTCATCTGAAAAACATTTTCTCGTTTTATTCAGCTTGCCTGAAGAAACGGCTTTTTTTGAAAACACTTTGACGATGTTTGATCTCTGTGGGGCGTTCAGACGTTATACGGTTCGGCTTCAGGAGGTTGTGGCCGGGAAGGTAAGCGTCCACCCAAAATGAAAATGGTTCCTTTTTTTCTCCAAAACTGACAATGAAAGACAGCAAAGTGTTTCTCAGCTAGGTTTTGGGAGATTCTCTAAAAATTTTACTTCTTCTGAATTGAAAATCACAACTCTGTCTCTATAGCAGATTATCTATTTTCTTGCTTTTTTCAGTGCACAACTTATGCCGTGTGCAAAGTAATTTTCGCGAAATGTAAATTTTCTTCGGACTCTTCGAATTTCAGTCATCTTTCTCACTGTCCGAAGGCTGTTCCGAATTTCGCGAAACCACTTTGAAAACGGCATTGAAGAAAGAAGATGAGACAAACCGTCAGGAGCTGAGGGGAAATTTGGCTTTTCTGTAGATGCCTGAAATTTTATCGAATCAACTGGAATTCCAGGAGAAAAGACCAACCTTTTTGCATCCCACGCTTCCCACAATGAGGGTAATGATAGTCGAGAGAATAACCAGCAACTGCAAAGTCATATCTGTCCCGAAATAAGTCGGTCCTCAGCCACATTTTCATTTCACCTAACACGTACGCCTTTTTTCTCTTTTTTTTGTTGTTTCTCAACCTTCAAAAGACCTCTTATTTTTCACAGATCCACTAAACATCCATTTTCTTGAGAAAATCGATAAAATCTAGGTACCCAACTCTTTTTTTTTGGTACTATCAAGTGTGAAATTTTTTTGAAAATATGAAAAGTGTTTCGAAATTCCATCGATTTCTAGGGTATTTTCTTCATCTTGTGGTCTTGTGGAGCCATTTATTCCAGTTTGAGTTATTTTTTAAACATTAACAGATCCTAAAAGGTTGGAATCTATTCAAAGACGTTCCCCACGAGTAGAACACAATAATGAAAAAAAAATCCGGTGGTATGAAAAAAGGACAGCCAAAATTCGAACAACGACTTTTCCGATTTTTTTCATATCGCTAGGGAACTTTCCGGCGGCCACCTTTCCGACGAATCGGTTTCCGACTTTTTTTCTCGTTAAAATCTTCGTTTTAAATCTTCCTATATAAAGTAGGTAGTTGTTTCATGATTAGAACACAAAAAAATAGGAAAAAAATGTTTATAGATGTTTTATAAACCAAAAAAACATAATGGAAAAAAGTCGAAAAAGTCGCCGTTTGAATTTTCGCTGGTCTTTTTTTCATACCACCGAAACTCCTAGGTCTTCGATTCAGACGTTTATTTGAGGATTTAGCTCTCATCCTTTCCGTTTTTGCAAAAAGAAAGTGTTAATCTCACTCTTTTATTTATTCATTTCGGTTAACTCGCAAAGAAGGTCATTTTACTTTGCGGTTGGGATTTTCTTGAAAATCGGCCAAAACACTACTTAATGAACCAGATGAAAAGAAAAGTCCTAGAAGCCTCAACCCGTCCAACTTCCTGGAGGGCACCTCAAAGTTAAGAAAAACTTTCAAAACCCGTTTAAATTGGCTACTAAGGGGTTTTGAGCCATTATTCCTCAAAAACTAGGAATTTGTGTTGGTTGAAGCTTTCACAAACGTTTTCTGCTACGTCAAGGCTGGTCAATTTTTAGGAATTTTCCAACCGCTGAGTAAAATTAATTGGTGGAAATCGTATTTACTAATTTTCAAAACGACGTAGACCATGAAATAGTAACAGAAAAACAAAAAGTGTAGGAACATGTTTTATTGTACGGAAAATGTTTTTTCAAGAGAATACGTGGCTGCAACAACTCCAATCTCTTTTCTATCTAGATGACTTTGAAAGCCCCCACGAAGTTTTCCAACATTTTCGCTTTTTTGAACTTCTCACGAAACAAATGTTGGAAATAAAAATCCCATCCTAGTTGTGAGAGCTCGAAAAGACTAAGGACGATTGTATTATAATCAGAAAAGCTCTTTTTTCACTTTCAAGCGTTCAAAATTACGGAACTTTTGAAGCCGGAAAAATTAAATCTCAAATCAGTTTTGGGCCGTTTTGCGCATAATAAGAATGCGAATAGAAGTTCAACGATCCTTCAAGGAGCGATTTATTTAACAGTTTTTATCGTTTCTCCGATTCGAGCCATTCTCTTATTGAATACCGACCTAAATTCCCTCGGATTAGCTATAAAGAATAATACCAAACTTCATTCCATTCAAGACCAGCTTGAGACGAAATTTACTACAGTTATGTCTAAATCTCTTCTATCTGCATGCTCTTTCGCTAATAATATTTTCAGTGAAATATTTTCTCAAGCCCATGGTGAATGTACTATGGATAAGCTCGCATCGAAATTTTGTTTCCGATTTTTCAAATTTTTTCCTGGCTTTAGTAGTAATGCTGGATTTGTGTGACATTTATCTACAATTTGAACAATTTTGGAATTCATGAAAAGTTTCAACACACTTTGAACTAAAACTAACGTCCTTGTGAAGATCGATCCGAAAAGATAACAACTGAAAGCTCGAAGAAGTTTATTAATCAAAAAAAACTTTCGCCATTCAAGAAGTTTAGCTGAAACACATTTCATCGAAGTTTAGCTGTATCGTGGCCGCAGCTGAAAGTTTCATTTCTTGATGAGACTAATTTTTGTTTTTTGATTCAAAATATGGTCATATGCGTGAATCACAAGATTCAAAAAGGCATATCTTCAAAACTAAAAGTTTTCACAGGTAGTCTTGAGGTATTTTGATCGAAGGGAATTTCGAGCAACTTACAGCAAATATCGGTGCTTTGACGAACTAATTTTGACCTTTCAATTTTTAATTTTTCAAAAGAGAACTTATTTTCGGGCTACTTTTCGAAGTAATCTTTTCAGAAGCTAAAATCGTTCTGAAACTTGTCGATTTTTCTAGGTGAATATTAGAATTTTTCCAAGTTTCTGTAAAAATTCGAGTTTTTGAAGGCTTTTTTTCCCTGCATTTGTATAGCCGGGTTCCATTAGCTTCTTTATACTTTTCAGAATTCAACTCCCAATTATTTAATCAAATGTTTTGTTTTTTCTGTGATTTTCTTTTGATTTTTAAAGTTTTTTCTATTCAGAGATGAAGATCTTTCATTGAACTTCTTTGTAGAACTTTGATATTCAACGTCTTCATTTTTCATGTGTATTTTTAATGCTTTTAAAGAAAAGTTTAGGTGATCGGTTTATTAAAATAAAAAATAAGAAATACAGCAGATCATGATGATAATGAACCCGGGAATGAGTGAGGAAATATCAACCAAGGGGATTATTAACCCGAGATTCCGTAAGACAAGATGATGAGCCCGTAAATGAATAGGAAAAGATAGAAAATACATGATAAATATGAGAGGATAATTTTACAATAAAATAATTAATTGCGAGGTCAGGAAGAAGATTATATCATAAATAATCAATTCGGAAAGGGAATACATGAAGATGTATCAATAACTTAAAAATACAGAAAAATAAATGGGAAAATAAGAAAATCAGGTGCTGAAGGCTTAGGGTTGAACATTATTAATAGTATTAGCTAGTAATGGTACAATGCCAATATTGTCCAAAACCTGTGAAAGGAGAGAGGCTCCATCACTCAAAGGAACTCCGGTTTGAGCCATTACCGTGAGAAGTTCCGTGGTAACAGGTACCATTCCGGAGAAAAAGGGTGTCATGTTGGGTGGGATTGCAAATGGGAAGAAGATTGGGAGGAAGTCGAAAGCTGGCTCGGGCGTAGGGGAGGATAGTGGGGACATTGGCGCGAGGTCCGTCTCCATCGAGAGCTCGTCGTCGTCCTCGAACAGCTCGTCTTCAGAGGAGGAAGATGACAGAGAGTCTCCCCTTGGTCTCGGACTCTTGTCCTCCTCCATCAGTTTGAGCAGCTCCGGCTCTTCCTCCTCCTCGCCCGACTTCTTCCAGAGAACGATCGAGTAGGCGTTCATGTCCTCCTGGTTCAGGTAGAGCGGCATCTCGTCCAGACGGCAGCGTTTGACGTATTCCTCCTGGAGTTTTTGGACAGATTTAGTTTTGGCTTTTCTTATATGTATAGTGCATTCATCAAGAATGAAGATTGTATAGAAAGGTCTGAAAACACTCAAAAATGGACCACATGAAAAATGTTTCATTCCTCTTGAATACAAGACTCAAAGCGTCATGGGAAAATTTTCAAAAACAATTTTGGCGCGAGAATCTAATTTTCAAGTTTCAAATGACAATACACTGAAATGAAGCAAACTATTGGTCCATTCTTAACATGTTTGAAAAATTACTTTTTCTGAATTAAGAGGATTAATACTTTTGATTTAAAAAAACCGAACCGTGGTCATTTCGCCGCTTTCCACCAGTTTACGCTTATTACGACGCATGTTCTCGATCTAAAAGAAACGATATTTATTCGAACTTGAGAAGTAAAAAGAGAAACTAACGATTTCGTCCCGACTCTTGTTGAATTCGTTGATCCGTCTCTCCAATTCCTCCAAAGGGAGAGCGCTGAAATCTTCGGCAGTCGGTTGTTGGTACATTTCGAGTAGATGTAGGTTCTGCAAAACATTAAATAATAATAAAAGGAACGATTTCTGAGAATTGAGAACGGTGAAGAAGGTTTAAAAGTATTTGTTCAGGAGTTTTTTTCGAACCATTTTTTTCGGCTTTTCTTTTAATTTTTCAGTAGAAAATGAAGATGAGGAATGATTTGTACTTGAATTTGAAGCTCATTTTTGGATAATAGCTATTTTTGACGATGGGAAAATTTATGAAAACCAAATAAAAATGGGATTAAGTCTTTGTCTGGAAAGTAAAAGAGGAGAACAATAAACTTGGATTTTTACTATGGATAGGAACATTTTGAAAAAGCTATCTCGTCGAAAAAAAATCTTTCACCTGATTTGAGAAATTGAAAGTAATAATGAGGCAAAAAAGAAAAAAAAATAACATTTTTTAGAAAAAACTAGCCGCTGGGCAGAGCCGAAGTGGAATAAGTAGAAAGAAAGTACAACTGCTCGGTAGAGACAGGTTGAGACAGAGTGAACATCTGGGCAGCTTGGGACTTGGCCCAACCGTTGACTCCGCCCATTTCCGACGTTTCATCTCACTTTTCGCACCTTTTGTTTGTCCCAAGGACGGCAAAATCTGAAGATTCCTCTGAAGGGATAATTGCTGGAGGCAAGCGGCAGAAGAATTCGCACTTTTGTAATTGATCCCTTTGTACTTCCGATTGATAGAGAGTACAAGGGAGTGAGAAACACACAAAGATCGTTGGTTTTGTAGATTTTGATTGACAGGAAACAACGTGAGCAAGTACCGAACTCCATTTGCTCAGGAACGTGGGCTAACAATAAAACAAATTAACGTATAAAAATGGTCCAACCAGAGAATGCTCTCAGCTCACTTCGGAATGAGACTAGGCTCACTAAATGTAGTTTTTTACGCTGATTTTGAATCTGTGCTTCAAACTTACCCTCGAAACCTGTGAAAAAAGTGAGGAGCTCTCAAGGTCGAAAAGTTGTCTCAATTTGAGCTCCTTTTTGGAGGGTATATATAGGCCGTTCCGCGCCAGCTTGTCACGTTTTTCTTTCCGCCAAAGGCCAGGTCCAATTTAATCAATTTTCGCTTCAAGACCTTTGTTTTTTGCTGTTATAAAAGCAGAAATTTGATCTAATTTGATATACGGTCTTTTTGGCGGAAAGAAAAACATGACAAGCTGGCGCGGAATGGGCTATAGTTCTTGTTCCCTTTGTCACGAAACATCATTTGATTTTTTTAAAAGGTTCTAGAGCCCAGATATGATTTTTTTAAAGTTCGGCGAGTGATAACAGCTATTGCGATCCGGCGACCGTCGAAAAACAAGAACTATATACCCTCAAAAAAGGAGCTCGATTGGAGCCATCGAATTTTTCGACTGTGAAAGCCCCTAACTTTTTTCACAGGCCATGAAGGGCAACTTTGAGCACAGATTTCGGAATCAGCGTAAAAAGCTACATCCAGTGAGCCTAGTCTCAGAAGGGAGCTGAGAAAAGTACCTGGTGAGAGCTCAGGGAGAAAGAAATTAAACTCCAACCTCGGGGAGGAAGATTCGAATTTAGTTCAGGATGTCTCGGGGAGAGGTTTTAGCGGCTCTTAAAAATTATATGTTTGACAGGAAAAATGACTTTGAAAAATCAGAAATATCATCTCGTTGTGAAAAAAGAAACAGGAACGTAGAAAAGTTTCAATTAAAAAAGTTTGAATTTTTATTTTAAAAAAAGCAAGTTAGGCTTTCTACTCAGTGTCTTGTGAACAGCTTGATTGAGATTAGAAGCAAACAAAAAACTAGAAATTGAAGATAAATGAAACATATTAGAGGTTCAAATCTTGAAATTTCATCGAGAAAAAAATTCCTAAAGAATAGCCATGACCTTTAAAATTAGACAATTAAATTAAACCCGTGTTCCTGAGCCCCGGGAGGGTTTTACGCTGAAAATTACACATTTTGGTAGATATCAAGGCTTTTGGAAGTTTTCTAGAACACATATCCCGATAAATTTGTCTCTTTGCTTTTCCGGGCTGAGATATGTTTCAATTAAGTTTTAAAAACGTTCGATTTGAGTTCGTGATGTTTTGCATATTATCGTAAGAGCTTAAAAATATAACATCACATATAGTTACTTTTTACTGTCATTATTATTATTTGTTTTAAATTTAAGAAGTATTCGCCTTTTTATTTTTTTCTAATGAAACAGTCTATCCATCAGTCATGATAATCATGGATTAGGAACAAAGAAAAACGAATGAACATGATTAGAATAGTTAAAATTTGAAGAAAAGCGCGACCGAGATCCGCAAAGGCAACCACGCTTTCACGGCCACAAGGCCACGGAGTGTCGTTTCATAAAACTCAAGTTTTGGCACACAGGCTATAAGATGTTTAAATATTTTGAGTGTGTGCAAAATTGTCGTTTCCTAGTTTTTTAGAGGTCGGTTTAGTGACCACTTTAGTGTCCTCTCCAAGTAGTCTTTGGCGAGCCTCTATAGCCCGCCACTAAAAATTTTCCCCAAACAGGAAAAAAACATTCTCCTTTGTTAATTTTCATTTCGAAGGTTTTCAAGCGACCACAAAGTTTTTTCGAGATTTCGAACGTTCTTTCTGGTTTTTTTTATTGAACTTTTCTCAGGACCCACTTCTTTTGCCCCCAGAACCTCCTTCCATTCCAAACAATACACAACTCGACAGAAAAGAGAAGGTTTTTGATTTCTTCTTTTTTACTTGCGAAATCAATTCTTCAGGCCAGAATATTTATGGAACGACTCTTAAACGAAAAACGCCTGAAAAAGCAACAAGAGGAGGAGGAAAAGCGAAAAGTCGAAGAAGAAGCGAAGAAACCCAAGGTTTTTCAGTGGATCTTCGTTCGGAAGAATCTAGGCTTTTTGCAGAAATCAAGCGAAGATGAGAAGAAGGAGCCGGTGAAGATCGGTCTGAGCGCCATCGACGATATTATCAATAAGTTGGTTTTTTTGCGTAGAAAAATGATTGAAAGCTTCTAGCTGTCTGTGCTCTCCTAACACTAACTGGAAGAAGAGATCATGTCTAAAAGGAGAGTTCAGATAGTTAGACTTTTAAACTGTCTAACTGTGTGCGCTCTCTATTCTCTCACAAAAATGAAATAGCATGGAAAGATTAGAGATTGCAGAGAGTTAGAATTTCCAGTCAGCTTTCTGAAAAATGTGAATTGATCGAGTTCCAACCCAAAATGGTTATAAGTTGGGTTACCTCTCTTTTCTTTCATTTTAAGGAAAGATAACGGAAAAAAGAGAGAGTGCAGGTGATTAGACTTCTGTGAAATTGTAGTGATTTTCAAGCCGAGAATGAGAATCCCTGGAAAAGCTTGAAAGTCTAACTGTCTGAACCCTCTTCTATTTCGATAGATGGAGAGAAAGAGTGAAAAGGAGAGAGCTTGGGTAGTTAGACAGTTTCGAGTTACGGTGAAGACTTGGTGTGTAGTTGTCGATTGGTATTTTACAAGAAAAAGATCTGATTTTTATGAGCCATGGTCGCATTTGGAATGGCTCAAGGCGTTTTTCTTTAAAGTTTGACTGTAGCGGAATCGTTCCGTTGAGCCGTTTTTCAAAATTTAAGTCATTTATCTAGGAAAATTGCCCGAAGATTCCTATTATACATAACTCAAAGCTGAAACCTTCAAACGGATCGACAGTATCCTCGTGGAGTCGGGCTTCAAAACCGAGGAGAAGAAGAAGGAAGAGGAGAAAGAGGAGGATACAGAGAAGAAGAAACGAAGGAAACGGAGTCGGTCGAGGTCTCGGAGCGGCGAACGGAAGAAGTCGTCGAAAAAAGAGCGCCGAAGAAGGTCCAGAACGAGGTCCCGCTCTAGGGAAAGGTCCAGGAGAAATCGGAGACATCGCAGTTGAAATGTCCTGTTTTCCTTGTTTTCTTGATAAATATTCTATTTTCTTGGGTTTTCCTGTTGATTTTTGTTATGGGGACACAATCCCTCATTTTTATGACTTTGTATTGAAGTACTGTGTACTAGGAATATTCAGGAAAGACCCCCGAGAAGCGGAAGTAAGAGATCAGCGCGACTTGAAGAGACGACAGACAAGTGGAAAAATCTTGCTCTCTGGCGTCTCTTCGGTGAACTGATCTCTCGCTCACGCTTTTTGAGGTTCCGATTATTTTGAGAGCATTAGATTTATGTATTGATTTGAAGATGTTTGAATAGTTTTTGTCATTTTTTGTGAATAATTCAGACCTAATAGTAATTTTAAAAGTAATTTTTATCAGTTCAAAAAAATGACAAAAAGGTCCTCTTTTTCAACCTTTTTCGAGAATCTGAATTTTTTTGAATTATTCAAAAGAGAGTTTAAAATTACTTCACAACTTTGGAGATCTCATTTTGAAGACAAAGAGACCTTTTTGAATTTTTCGAACCTACAAAAAAATATGATCTTTTTTTGAAAGGATTTAAATTTATAAAATATTGAAAAAAATATTAGCCAAAACATGTTTTTCCATTAAAAGTACATTCTAAGTGTCTTTGTGCACACTGACTGACTACCGTAACCCCGTTTTTTTGGAAAAAAAGGTTTGAAGAAAAAAATAACTTTTTTTCTAGGAAGGAAATGGTGAAAAATACAATTTCAGTACCAATTAAAAAAACCATTTCAGAGACATTCCTACCAAAGAAAATCGAAGAAAACCATCTTTTCACCCACTGTGACGAGGAATTCAGGTTGGATTTTTTATTCCTTTAACAAAAAAAAATTAAAATCTTTATACAAAGAACAATGATTCAACACGAAAATGCAAAAAAAAAAATCAGATCTATAGAAATATTTTGATTATGATGAATATACCGTTTTTCGTTGATTGAAAATTATGGCTGAAAAAGGACAGAAAATGCTTCGAGATTTTTCCAACGATAAGCTTGGCAATAGAACTAAATAATATTAGTTAACGATGAGCAATGGTGCATTTTATTTTTGATGTGATTATAAAGAGGAAGGAATGATCTTATTGAGCTGCAACAGGTGAGGGAAAATTAATAAAATTAACCGGTGGAAAATATATTATTACGCAAAGTTACACACTTAGTGTAAGCACTGTTCGCGATTACCGTAACCCTTTTTTCATGAAAATCGACCAAAAACTATGAATTTAGACGGTGTCTGCACGATTTTTACATTAAAAAGATCTGCCGAAATTTTTTTTCACTCAAAAACACATTATATGTGTATGCACACTGACTGACTACCGTAACCCCGTTTTTTGAAAAAAAACTGTTTCATCTCGGCGAATCCGCCGACGCGACCAATTTTTGCATGTCGAGAATTATCGACCGAGCCACTTCTTCGGCAATTTCTTCCTCTTTTAAAGCCGTCTTGTCCAGATACTTCCGTAGTGTTGATTTGATTCTAAAATCGGGGAAAAGAAGGATTTTCTGTAGATATGAAAGTCTTTTTAAACATTTTTTAAACATTTTTTTTCCGCCAAGTGAGCATTTAGACATCTTTTTGATTGTAAATTTACCTGGACGGCGTTTTCTGAGTACCCGAGTAGGAATGTGTGTCATCGTAGAGAGCGTGGTAGCGGCCCAGCTCGTCAACTTCGGCCAAACGGCTGAAAATTTGTGATAAGAACACCTTGCAAAAAAACGGCAAAAAGAGGGAAAGGTCCCGGGGAGATTTGAACTCCCGTCGCAGGATTCAGAGTCCTGAGTGCTAACCGCTACACCACGGGACCGGTGACTCGTCGGGGCGCGCCGGTGTGATAGGATCTCGTTGTGTGTTCAGCCGAGTGTACACTACACTACACCGTGTGTGCTTTTCTAGCATTTTTGGGGAGCTACGAGGTTCCAAATGACGCTGAGAGCAAGGATATAACGGTGAGGAGAGATCGTGGGATTTTAGAGAGTTTAAGGGGGTAAAAATTAATTAGACTGGGTTTTTTTTAGTGAGTAATTGTCTTCAGAAGCTTCTTTTTCAAGTTTGTGAGTGGTCCTCTATAGGAGTTTGGGGGAAAAACAGCACCTGTAGGGCCCGAAAAAGTGGTCACTATAGGGGTTTAGGGTCTGACTCCTTGACCCTGAAGCTTGAGTGGTTCACATAGGGGTCTACCAATTTTTATTCAAAAAAGGTTTTTTTTTAGTTTTTCGCATTAAAACTCATGAATTTCATAAAAATTATCGACTATCATGTCCCCTATAGGGGTCACTAACTGAAAACCCTATAGGGACTACTTTTGCAAGATTTAGTGGACTCTAGGGGTTGGTAAAGTGAGAGGGGACCCTCCAAGAGCCCCTAAGGTTGACCCTAGAGGGACCACTCTGGAATTTCTGAGTCCAGTCTCAAGCTGAAACGGACAGATCTCAGGTTTTTTCGGTTTATATTTCACCTCAACGATTCCCAGCTGTATGAAAGTTTATAAGAAAGTATCAAGGCCGCAATTTTCTAGATTTTATAACCTTTTTCCGCTATTTATGAGTGAATTGATTTTGGTACCTGCTCCTCGGCGTGCTCCGTTGACTTCTCGGCGAATTCACCGGGGTCCGATTGTCTAGCTCTATCCGTTTCTGTTCCAACGTCTCGATGTGCTTGTTGAAAGCCGAGGTTAGAGAATCGGCCGAAGAGGACTGGGCGTCCGAATTCGAACTCGTCGTTCTTCTTGGCCGATTCGCTCGCGGTAACTCCACCTGAGAATTATAAAGTTATGCGGAGGTTTGTAAGAAGGTTTTAAAAAGTTCAAATGAGTGGAGAGAAGTTCACAACTGGAATTAAAAATGATAGTAAGAAATTTTGGGTCCGCAAATACTCGTGAGCGTGAATTGTGCATACACCAATCTTGGGGGTTTCACCTCTTCTTTAATTTTTTTTTTCGTTGACTCATAAAAACCAAAAAAGAGACGAATATTTCCAAACATCGTTTTCCAAGATTGGTGTATGCACAATTCACGCTCACGAATATTCGCGGATCTAAAATTCTTCCCTACGATCATGAACCCATGTTTCTATTTTTCTGATTTCTCTTTCTTCGAAAAAGGGGAGGAGCCTCCCCAAAATGATGAACTGAATCCTCAATTTTTGATTTATAGCTTACTAGAGAATATTTTTTCATTCTTTCACAATATTTTTATGATTTTAAAGAGTAACATCTTCAAATACTCATATCAAGAAGGACAATTTTGAAAAGGAAAAACTAACCGTCGTCTCGATTTGAGTTGAAATCTCGTTGAGATAGCCGGAATAAGCTGGTGACTTAACGAAATCGACCATGTATTTCTGAAAAACAAGGGATTTTTAGAGAGATCTGTAGTTATAATGAGTTTTGTTGGCTTGAAACAGATATTGATTTTTTCAATTACTAACATCATGGAGACGGCAAAAACAGGCGGTCCTAGGCGTGGAGAAGGTCTTTGGATGGGGTCGGCCGGATTCGTCGCAAATCATGGACTCCAGTTCGGCCCTCAGAGATGGGCCAAGGTCGATCGCGTTGGTAGCTTGCATTGAGAAGTACCTGGAAGGAAATTAGGCATTTTTCTTCTTTCTGAATTTCCTAGTAATTTGAGAGTCGTCTTCATAGCGTTTAGGGGAAAAAGGTCTCTATAGGGGGCGAAAAAGTGATCCCTAAAGGAGTAAGATCAAGGTGATCCCTATAGAAGTTTAGGGTCTAACCACTGAGTCTTCTAAAGCTCAAGTGGTCCCTATAGCGTTTAGGGGAGAAAACAGTTCTTTTAGGGGCTGAAAAAGTGGTCCCTAAAGGAGTAAGATCAAGGTGATCCCTATAGAAGTTTAGGGTCTAACCACTGAGTCTTCTAAAGCTCAAGTGGTCCCTATAGAGGTCTTTCAATTTTTATTCAAAAAAGGTTATTTTTTAGTCTTTCGCGTGTGAATGCTTCTTCTATTAGATTTCATGAAAGTTATTGACTAGCATGTCGCCTATAGGTAGGGACCGCAAAGCCACGCCCCTTTTCGCGATAGAAAAAGTGGCTTTTTGTTGGTTTTCAACTTTCATTTTGCTGTAGTTGCAAAATATGTGGAACTGGATAATAAATTTTGACACACATGTACAGAAAAGCTTCTTCTTTCGTTTAAAAAATATTTCACGCTTTTTTGATGCGTTCTCGCGGAATGTCGTACAAAAACGTGAATGGAACTAAAAATTTTTGTCATTTTTTGCTTTTTCATGTGTTTTCAGGTCGAACGCACTCTTTCTTTTTTTATATAATGATTTTTTTATTGAAGTAACGGTAATTTTAAAACAATAAAAATAAAAAAATTCGTCTTTGCCAAAAAAATTTTTAGGGAGTGCCGGAAGTTATAATTCAAAATATCGTTAATAAGCGAATTTAATCGAGTATTTGTTTTTTCAGAATTTAGACCATGGGCTTACTTAAATTTTTCTCCACAGAATATGTGCTTGAAACAGTTGTTTAATACGCAAAAATGCTCTTGAAAATAGAGAATAAAATTAGCGGCGTTTATCACAAAAAAAGCGGTCGAACGCAGGTTTTTTGAACGATTATATACATTTATTAGTAAAAAAATCTTTCAATTAAAAAGAATAAAAATAAAAAAATTCGTCTTTGCCGAAAAATATACGGGGCCGTTTTAATGCAGCGATCGTTAAAAGAGGCAAAAAGCACTGAAAAAACAGTTTTTTCGAAGTGAATTTCCACGAAACGTTTGAGTAAAGATTTGCAAACATATTCTGATAAAAATAGCTAAATTACTTCAAGTTTTTCTTTTTGAAATAGGCAATCTGTGCTATTTAAACGGCTCAAGGCTAAGGCGGATGGAAGCTCCCCGCGCTAGACTTGACAGTTTGGCGCAGTGCGTGCGCTGCGATTTTTCATTTTGAGGTCGCGAGTTCGATACCCGCAAGCGTCAGTTTTTTGTTTTCTGCAAAATACCGACTTTTCCGGCAAACTAGCTGATTAGCATCATTTTAGCACTCTATTATAATTTGTTACATCATAATAGACCAGTATCAAAACTTGTTCTAGAAGAAAAATCGAGAAAAATGTCAAAAATGGATAATACCAAAATTTCAGTACTAAAAAAATGGTGCGCGGCGCGCCACATTTTTTGTCATAACTTTTTTCATCCTCAATCTTTTTTGAAAAACTACACGGCTCTGAGTTTTGAATCGAAACAGCTATCAAACCATGCATAGCTCAATGCTGAAAAAAAATTTTTGAAAATTCGTCTGCGGTCCCTACCTATAGGAACCACTGTTGCAAGCTTAAGTGGTCCCTAGAGAGAACACTCCAAGGGTCCCTGACCACTCTAGAGTTCTAAATTCCAAAAAACTTTTTAAAAAAAATCTCAACATTTAACATCAGAAATATCCCAATAATCTGAACCTCCTAGAAGCTTCGGAAATAATCAATTTATCTAGGAAATCGAGTAATCTCCAACTC